CAGACAGATGGTGCATCCTAATAACCTCTCCTTCTTCCTCAGGTGTCTCCTTCACTACTTCCCCACAAAATGTAAAGCATTCGATTGGTGTAGGCATGGGCTAGGGGGAATTTTCCAAATACCAGTCATTTCAGTTTAAATCCATGGAGATGTGATTGGGCCGTAACCTGATAGTGAACCAATGTATCTGTTTCTCTAGAAATGCCATCACAATGTCCCATGGGCTGTTTACTGTTTGATAACACATGGAACAGATTGGTGCTTCACTTCTACAGGATGTAGGCTACACAGTACACACACACACACACACACAACACACAACACACAACACACACACTAAATCATACACTAGTGGTTCAATGTAGGAGACAAGGACACTTTTGAATGGTAATGTTCTAGGGGTGTTGTTCTACGGATAGCCTTAGCCTAAGAAATTAAAAGTCAACGATCATGTTTGGGTTACAAAATGTACATATGGGATACTTAAGCAATAAGGCCCGAGGCGGTGTGCTATTGTAAACTGGTTACATCATTAGAAGAGTCAACAAAGTCGTTTTGTATCATACAGTTGAAGTCGGAATTTTACATACACTTAGGTTGGAGTCATTAAAACTCGTTTTTCAACCACTCCACACATTTCTTGTTAACAAACTATAGTTTTGGCAAGTCGGTTAGGACATCTACTTTGTGCATGACACAAGTCATTTTTCCAACAATTGTTTACAGACAGATTATTTCACTTATAATTCACTATATCACAATTCTAGTGGGTCAGAAGTTTACATACACTAAGTTGACTGTGCCTTTAAACAGCTTGGAAAATTCCAGAAAATGATGTCATGGCTTTAGAAGCTTCTGATAGGCTAATTTACATCATTTGAGTCAATTGGAGGTGTACCTGTGGATGTATTTCAAGGCCTACCTTCAAACTCAGTGCCTCTTTGCTTGACATCATGGGAAAATCAAAAGAAATCAGCCAAGACCTCAAAAGAAAAATTGTAGACCTCCACAAGTCTGGTTCGTCCTTGGGAGCAATTTCCAAACGCCTGAAGGTACCACGTTCATCTGTACAAACAATAGTACACAAGTATAAACACCATGGGACCACGCAGCCGTCATACCACTCAGGAAGGAGATGTGTTCTGTCTCCTAGAGATGAACGTACTTTGGTGCAAAAAGTGCAAATCAATCCCAGAACAACAGCAAAGGACCTTGTGAAGTTGCTGGAGGAAACAGGTACAAAAGTATCTATATCCACAGTAAAGAGCAGGTGTTCTTAATGTTTTTGTACACTCCGTGTATATACACTCAGTAAGCGGCCAGTTTATTAGGTACACCCGTCCACAAAAATAGTTTGCTCCTACAGACAGTGAGTCACGTGGCTGTGGCTTGCTATATAAAGCAGGCAGACAGGCATCGAGGCATTCAGTTACTGTTCAAATGAATGTTAGAATGTGCAAAACGAGTGACCTAAGCGGCTTTGACCCTGGTATGACAGGCTAGCCAGGTCCAGTATCTCAGATACGGCTTCGTGGGCTTTTCACGCACGACATTGGCTAGGGTTTTCCCGAGAACGGTGCGACAAACGAAAAACTTGACGTTTGATTAGAGGTCGAAGGAGAATGGCAAGAATCATGCAAGCTAACAGGCGGGCCACAAACATGCAAATAACTGCACAGTACAACAGTGGTGTGCAGAACGGCATCTCGGAACGCCCAACTCGTCGGTCCTTGTCACGGACGGGCTATTGCAGCAGACGACCACACCGGGTTCCACTCCTATCAGCTAAAAACAAGAAGAAGCAGGACACGCCATCACCAACTCTGGACAATTTGAGGAGTGGAAAAACATCGCCTGGTCCAACGAATCCCGGTTCCTGCTCGCAGTCGATGTTCCAATTCATCCCAAAGGTGTTCGATTGGGGTTGAGATTTTGTGCAGGCCAGTCAAGTTCTTCCACACTGATCTCAACATAGCATTTCTGTATGGACCTCTCTTTGTGCACGGGTGCATTGTCATGCTGAAACAGGAAAGGGCCTTCCCCAAACTGTTGCCACAAAGTTGGAAGCACAATGCCTCGCAAAGAAGGGCAACTATTGGTAGATGGGTAAAAAAAAAAGACATGAAATATCCCGTTGAGCATGATGAAGGTATTAATTACACATTGGATGGTGTATCAATACACCCAGTCACTACATTTTAAACATTTTTAGTCATTTAGCAGAGATGCATACTACAAAGATGCATGCATCCTTCCTAACTCAGTTGCCGGAAAGGAAGGAAACCGCTCAGGGATTTCACCATGAGGCCAATGGTGACTTTAAAATAGTTAGTTTTTAACGGCTGTGATAGGAGAAAACTGAGGATGGATCAACAACATTGTAGTTACTCCACAATACTAACCTAAATGACATAGTGAAAAGAAGGAAGCCTGTACAGAATAAAAAATATTCCGAAGCATGTTTGCAACAAGGCACTAGAGTAATACTGCAAACAACGTGGCAAAAAAATTCACTTTCTGTCCTGAATACAAAGTGTTATGTTTGGGGCAAATCCAATACAACACATTACTGAGTACCACTCTCCATATTTTCAAGCATAGTGGTGGCTGCATCATGTTATGGGTATGTTTGTAATCGTTAAGGACTGGGGAGTTTTTCAGGATAAAAAAGAAACGTAATGGAGCTAAGCACAGGCAAAATCCTAGAGGAAAACCTGGTTCAGTCTGCTTTCCACCAGACACTGGGAGATGAATTCACCTTTCAGCAGGACAATAACCTAAAACACAAGGCCAAGTCTACACTGGAGTTGCTTATCAAGAGTGGCCGAGTTACAGTTTTGATTTAAATCTACATGAAAATCTATGGCAAGACCTGAAAATGGTTGTCTAGCAATGATCAACAACCAATTTGGCAGAGCTTGAAGAATTTTTAAAAGCATAATGTGCAAATGTTGCACAATCCAGGTGTGGAAAGCTCTTTGAGACTTACCCAGAAAGACTCACAGCTGTAATCGCTCATAGCTGTAAAGGTGTTTCAACACAGTATTGACTCCCGGGTGTGAATACTAATGTAAATGAGAGATTTCTGTATTTCATTTTCAATAAATTATCAAAAATTCCTAAGAACATGTTTTCACTTTGACATTATGGGGTATTGTGTGTAGATGGGTAATTTTTATGTATTTATATATATATATATATATATATATATATATATATATATTGAATTCAGGCTGTAACACAACAGAATATGGAATCTATATATACACATTACTGAGCACCACTCTCCATATGTTCAAGCATAGTGGTGGCTGCATCATGTTATGGGTATTTAATTTAATTTAATTTAATTTAATTTAACCTTTATTTAACTAGGCAAGTCAGTTAAGAACAAATTCTTATTTACAATGACGGCCTACATTGGCCAAACCCGGACGACGCTGGGCCAATTGTGCGCCGCCCTATGTATGCTTGTAATCGTTAAGGACTGGGGAGTTTTTCAGGATAAAAAAGTAACGGAATGGTGCTAAGCACAGACAAAATCCTAGAGGAAAACCTGGTTCAGTCTGCTTTCCACCAGACACTGGGAGATGAATTCACCTTTCAGCAGGACAATAACCTGTTCTTTTCATGACATAGACTGACCAGGTGAATCCAGGTGAAAGCTAGGATCCCTTATTTATGTCACTTGTTAAATCCACTTCAGTCAGCGGTACAGGAGCGCCACGTCTAGGTCCAAAAGGCTTCTTAACAGCTTCTACCCCCAACCCCATCCCCCTCTTTTACGCTGCTGCCACTCTGGTTATTATCTATGCATAGTCACTTTAACTCTACCCACATGTACATATTACTTCAACTACCTCAACTAGCCGGTGCCCCCGCACATTGACTCTGTACCGGTACTTCCTGTATATAGCCTCACTACTGTTATTTGATTTTACTGCTGCTCTTTAATTATTTATTTATTTTTTACTTGTCTATTTTTTACTTAACACTTTATTTTTATTTTTAATTTTTAAACTGCATTGTTGGTTAAGGGCTTGTAAGTAAGCATTTCACTGTAAGGTCTACACCTGTTGTATTCGGCGCACGTGGCAAATACAATTTGATTTGATTTGATCCTAGACCGGCACTGCTACCGTGAGACGCTTCATGAATACGGACCCATGACATGGCTTGTTGTAGTAGCTCAAGATACCAACACTTTAGTATGTGGTCTGTAGTGTAATGTTTAACAAGGGAGTATCTGTATGGCTAGGTCGGCTACCCTTCAGTTAATGTAAACAGAGCTGCCACAGGATCCTGACATGACAGGAATCTGTGTAAACACTTAAAGGAGAAGACACGAACACACAACGACAGACGGATAAGCTTGAAGGACAATAGTGAAAGGTGGTTGCGGTTGTAGGTTATGATCTGTGTATCCATTTTCTGTTTCATCTTTTTCTAAGCAGCTTATAGTGGATCATTACTAGAAAGTTAATATAACCGCTTATAGTGGATCATTACTAGAAAGTTAATATAACATTTCAGTCATTTTTAGCAGACGCTCTTATCCAGAGCGACTTACAGGAGCAGTTAGGGTTAAGTGCCTTGCTCAAGAGCACATCGGCAGATTTTTCACCTAGTAAGCTCTGGGATTCGAACCAGCGACCTTTTGGTTACCAGCCCAACGCTCTTAACCGCTAGGCTACCTGCCCTATGCATAGTCCCTTGTACAGGCAGTTACCAAGCTGTATGTGTAAAGTGAGTGAGTCTATGTCTATAGCGGTGCCGTGGATAATTACTAGAAAGTTAATATAGCAGCTTATAGTGGATAATTACTAGAAAGTTAATATTGGAGCTTTTTTGTGTGACTGACTTGTTGAGACTGTTGTTAATAGATTAGACACCATATGAAGCGTAACATCTCTCTCTCTCCTTGTCTCCTTCTCACCCTTCCTCTCTCTCTGTCTCGCTTTCTCTCCATCCATCTCTCTCCCCCTCCCCTCTCTCTACAGTGATGTCTAGCTGGTTGAAGGACGGGGAGGTGTTGATGGGTGAGGGAAGTGGCACCCCATGCAGCCCCAGACAGAGGGTCTTCTCAACCCCAGGTGGATATGGCAGTCCCAGGCCGGGTGGCAGGGGGGTAGGGGTGTCTGGCAGGGGGGTAGGGGTGTCTGGGATGGTGCAGCCGGAGACCATGGGGAAGGCCAAAGAGCTGTTTGTTCTCTGTGATAAAGAAGGAAAAGGTTTCATCACCAAGAGAGATATGCAGGTTAGTGAGATTCAGAAAGCTTTATTGTCCTAAATTCCCAATGAGGTGATACACTGAACTGTATGTAAAAAGTTAACATATTTATAAAAGCTTTTCTCTCTCTCTCTTCCTCTCCTCCCCCTCCTCTCTCTCTTGTCTTCTCTCTCTTCCTCCCCCTCCTCCCCCTCCTCTCCTCCTTTCTCTCCCTCCTCCTCTCCCTCTCCCTCTCTCCCCTCCCCCTCCTCTCTCCCTCCTCCCCCTCCTCCCCCTCCTTTCTCTCCCTCCTCCTCTCCTCCTCCTCTCCCTCTCCCTCTCTCCTCCTCCTCCCCTCCTCTCCTCCTCCTCTCCCTCCTCCCCTCTTCTCCTCTCTCAGAGACTGCAGGGTGAGTTACCTCTGTCCCCAGAACAGCTGGAGTCAGTTTTTGAGAGTCTGGACAGAGACAGAAACGGCTTCCTAACTCCTGTCGAGTTTAACATGGGCCTTGGTGTGTACCGCTCACTCATTTCATGACATGCTGGACATTTGTTTGAACAAAATGTTAATGAATTCATCTCTTGATAAGTTACTTAAGGTCCAAGGTTGGAGATCACTGACGTGTATCTTTATTAACTTTGTAATGACATTTCCCTGTCTCTCTGTCTGACTGTGTGATAGATTACTGCATTCTAAATAGTATGTAGTAGGATTAGTACACAGTATGTAGTAGGATTAGTACACAGTATGTAGTTTTAGTATGTAGTAGCCAAGACATTTGACCAATGACTTATATTGACACATTTCTCTGTCTCTCTGTCCGACTGTGTGATAGCAGGGGAGTTGATGGGGGTGGAGGAGAACACAGAGAAGAGGCAGATGGAGACGGAGGAGAAGGTGGATCCAGGAGAACTCAGATTCACTCAGATACTGACGGAGCTGGGAGCTGACAAACTCTTCAAAGAGTGAGTGGCTACACCACTCTGGAAAACATGATGGAACGCGTTTCTAGAGAGAGTTCGGCCAACGTTTATATTCATAATAACAAGTATTTGTATTCTAGCTTCCTGTAACAGAGTTGTGTTGTGCTGTGTGTGTGTGTGTCTCAGTCAGACATAACTGTGTGTGTGTGTGTGTGTGTGTGTAACCTGTTGTATCATGTGTCTTTATGTCAGTCAGTGGGAGCTGGGTACCCTGTGGTGTGACCTCCAGAGAGACAGACCAGAGCTGCTCTCTATCCTGGAGGAGGTCCTTGTCCACGCTGTGTCTCATCTCCAAGACTCACTGAGGGAGAGAGAGAGTCTGGAACAGGCCCTACGCAGGTCTCAATTCTCTCCCCGTATCGACGTTTACTGTCCGTTCATTCATATGACTGGTGGAGCAGAAAAACATCAACTTACTTATTAACATACTTACCTACTTAATCTAATGTGTTGTTGTGTTGCAGATATGACAGGGTTAGGGTTACTATCTAATGTGTTGTTGTGTTTCAGACGGGAGAGTGACCATGACAGGGTTAGGGTTACTATCTAATATGTTGTTGTGTTTCAGATGGGAGAGTGACCATGACAGGGTTAGGTTTACTATCTAATTTGTTGTAGTGTTTCAGATAGGAGAGTGACCATGACAGGGTTAGGGTTACTATCTAATGTGTTGTTGTGTTTCAGATGGGAGAGTGACCATGACAGGGTTAGGGTTACTATCTAATGTGTTGTTGTGTTTCAGATGGGAGAGTGACCATGACAGGGTTAGGGTTACTATCTAATGTGTTGTTGTGTTTCAGATGGGAGAGTGACCATGACAGGGTTAGGGTTACTATCTAATGTGTTGTTGTGTTTCAGATGGGAGAGTGACCATGACAGGGTTAGGGTTACTATCTAATGTGTTGTTGTGTTTCAGATAGGAGAGTGACCATGACAGGGTTAGGGTTACTATCTAATGTATTGTTGTTTCAGATGGGAGAGTGACCATGACAGGGTTAGGGTTACTATCTTATGTGTTGTTGTGTTTCAGATGGGAGAGTGACCATGACAGGGTTAGGGTTACTATCTAATGTGTTGTTGTTTCAGATGGGAGAGTGACCATGACAGGGTTAGGGTTACTATCTAATGTGTTGTTGTTTCAGATGGGAGAGTGACCATGACAGGGTTAGGGTTACTATCTAATGTGTTGTTGTGTTTCAGATGGGAGAGTGACCATGACAGGGTTAGGGTTACTATCTAAGGTGTTGTTGTTGTTTCAGATGAGAGAGTGACCATGACAGGGTTAGGGTTACTATCTTATGTGTTGTTGTGTTTCAGATGGGAGAGTGACCATGACAGGGTTAGGGTTACTATCTAATGTGTTGTTGTTTCAGATGGGAGAGTGACCATGACAGGGTTAGGGTTACTATCTTATGTGTTGTTGTGTTTCAGATGGGAGAGTGACCATGACAGGGTTAGGGTTACTATCTAATGTGTTGTTGTTTCAGATGGGAGAGTGACCATGACAGGGTTAGGGTTACTATCTAATGTGTTGTTGTTTCAGATGGGAGAGTGACCATGACAGGGTTAGGGTTACTATCTAATGTGTTGTTGTGTTTCAGATGGGAGAGTGACCATGACAGGGTTAGGGTTACTATCTAATGTGTTGTTGTTTCAGATGGGAGAGTGACCATGACAGGGTTAGGGTTACTATCTAATGTGTTGTTGTGTTTCAGATGGGAGAGTGACCATGACAGGGTTAGGGTTACTATCTAATGTGTTGTTGTTTCAGACGAGAGAGTGACCATGACAGGGTTAGGGTTACTATCTAATGTGTTGTTGTTTCAGATGAGAGAGTGACCATGACAGGGTTAGGGTTACTATCTAATGTGTTGTTGTGTTTCAGATGGGAGAGTGACCATGACAGGGTTAGGGTTACTATCTAATGTGTTGTTGTTTCAGATGGGAGAGTGACCATGACAGGGTTAGGGTTACTATCTAATGTGTTGTTGTTTCAGACGGGAGAGTGACCATGACAGGGTGGTTCGGTCCATATATGAGGAGATGGAGAGTCAGATCAGAGAGGAGAGAGAGAAACGACTGGCTCAGGTAGCTATCTGTTCTGAAAATAAAGTATGAAAATGTATTCAGTCACTACTTTAAGTCGCTCTGGATCAGAGCGTCTGCTAAATGACTAAAATGTGAATGGTCTGCTGGGCTATGGACAGGGTGGTTGTTTAGCAACAAAACCGACGTATGCGCAACTATGGGGCAACACAGTCGGGGCTGGCTTAGACTGTTGACAACATGTAAACTGTTGAAAATATAAATACATTTGCACAATGAGCACTTGTTGTCTCTCATACATCATTACAGTTGTTGGTTAGCTAGCGAATTGTAGCTATATTAGTCAACCTGGTCTCAGAGCATTTCATATTATTCTGTGTGTAAATCCGAGACTCCATTTACTATGATATGTATGTTACGCTTCGTATGGTATGTTTTAATTTGTGGGTGTCCATCAGCCAATTCGTACAATATGTTACGAATTTGCTAAACTTATGATATCTTACGAATTCCAATTTGTTGTGGCTAACGTTAGCTAGCTGGCTAATGTTAGCTAGATGGCTAATGTTAGCTAGATGGCTAATGTTAGGCTAGGGGTTAGGGGTTAAAGTTAGGGTTAAGGTTAGGGGAAGGGTTGGCAAAGTTGCTAATTAGCTAAAATAGTCTGCGATGAGATTCGAAACACGCAACCTTTGGGTTGCTTGACGTTCACGTTATACGCCCACACGTCCACCCCGACCAACCCCCCTCCTTTCGTTTTTGCCTTAAGTAACCTTCTGTCTTATGTATCCATACCAAACGTAACATATCATACTAATTTGAGTGTCATGGCTTTACATCTACTATGTTACATCTAGTCTATGAGACCGGGCTGTATTATCATAGACATGACATCAGTCAAAACACTTCAAAACAAGACAAGCTATCAATAAGAAGATATATAACGAACTGAAACCAGACACCTGATTCCCAACATGGCAGCTTCTTGTCATTGTTGCTTGCTAATTTTTCGATGAAAGTTGGTACCGACATGTAACCTATTGTAGAATATACATATCCCACAATGCATCATCCAAATATAACGATTGCCTATACCTACGCATAGTGGCTCAAATAATTTGTTCTATTTTTTAAATACTAAAACGGCTTATATAAAAAAATTATAGGCCATCATCACTGTTAATCGTGAATGACAGTTCTTCACGTTTTACGGGTGAAACGTCCATGCTGCATCAGCATGCCAACCATTTGATCCCAATCAGTCACATGGGAATATGCATTTCAATCTTATTGAAAGATGTAGGCTAAGTAACTAAGGTTTAAGCGAAGTATTAGAACAGAGATAAGAAGCTACACTTCCATTTTGTTTCAATCAAAGCATTACATTTACATTTTTAGTCATTTAGCAGACGCTCTTATCCAGAGCGACTTACAGGAGCAATTAGGGTTAAGTGACTTGCTCAAGGGCACATCGACAGATTTTTCACCTAGTCGGCTCGGGGATTAGAACCAGCGACCTTTCGGTTACTGGCACAACGCTCTTACCCACTAAGCTACCTGCCGCCCTAACTAAGCCTAGTGAGCTGTTGAGGTCTGGCCACATGAACATAGTTTTTTTTTTTTCAACATCATAATAAAATGTCCTAAGTAGCCTGTTGGTTCAACACTAGAGCCTAACGTTACTATGCAATCATATTCAGTTCGTTATGTGGAATACTAATGAATCATTAAAGCGATCTTACGAGACCATATTGATTCAACTTTCATCTAAACTTGATTAAGCAAGCATCGCTCTGAGAAGTGGCGGAGTGTTGCTCCTCGGCGTACCGTGGCTGCACTACTTGCTCCTCGGCGTACCGTGGCTGCACTACTTGCTCCTCGGCGTACCGTGGCTGCACTACTTGCTCCTCGGCGTACCGTGGCTGCACTACTTGCTCCTCGGCGTACCGTGGCTGCACTACTTGCTCCTCGGCGTACCGTGGCTGCACTACTTGCTCCTCGGCGTACCGTGGCTGCACTACACGGCTGATAACAACGCACATAAAGGAATGCAGCATCTTCCTCGGTTGCCATTATATGATTTTCTTACTACACATGCGCAAACCTGCCCAGCAAAAAATAGCCCAATTCTGTCCCCATTCTCCAATCGTACTGCCGCCGAGGTGTATGTACTTTACGATGACTAGTTCACTACGATTTGGCTTGACTGAATCGTTAAATGTGAGAGGTTCTCCAATGGGTACAGCCCAATGGGTACAGCCCGTAGACTCAGAAAAAAACGGTGTGATGTATTTCAGCCCTGGGGCCTCCCGAGTGGCACAGCGGTCTAAGGCACTGCATCGCAGTGCTTGAGGCGTCACTACAGCCCCGGGTTCGATCCCAGGCTGTGTCACAGCCGGCCGTGACCAGAAGCCCCATAGGGTGGCACACAATTGTTTCAGCGTCGTCCGGGTTAGGGGAGGGTTTGGCCGGCCGGGATTTCCTTGTCCCATCGCGCTCTAGCGACTCCTTGTGGTGGGCCAGGCGCAAGCACGCTGACTTCGGTCGCCAGCTGGACGGTGTTTCCTCCGACACATTGGTGTGGCTGGCTTCCTGGTTAAGCGAGCAGTGTGTCAAGAAACAGTGCGGCTTGGCAGGGTCGTGTTTCGGAGGACGCACGGCTCTCGACCTTCGCCGAGTCCGTAGGGGAGTTGCAGCGATGGGCCAAGACTGTAACTACCAGTTGGGGTAAAAAAAATTAACTAATGTATTTCAGCCCTAACTAATGGCTGATCGTGATGATGATGATGATAATGATGATGACTGTACTTCATGTTAAAGGACAGTATCAGACAGTGGGACAGAAGACAGAAGATTGCTGAGGAGCTGAAGACGAGGGAGCAGGAACTGGAGATCGCCCTGGCCAATCAGAGAGAGGTAGAGACATCGTAGACTTAGACAGGTGACTCTTTGTATCTGTCACATTATGACGTCATTGAGCCATCGAGGCCACCTCCATTTTGAAGTAGTCTATTTTCATCTTCTGTGAGTTTGTAAACAAACTGAAAGGGTGCGTACTGCCACCTGGAGTGCTCAGGGAGATTTTAACCCGGGGCTAAGCGAGTGTTCACACTTGCACATTTATGAAGTGGGCTAGCACCAATCTTAGCCCAGGGTTAGCTGGACCTGCTCCGAAGCAGGGTTAGCACCGACTTTTCAGAAACACGGTGCCAAAATAGCCAGTGTAAAACAGGGTCAAGAACAATGCATACATGTATTACCATGCATACAATATACAAATAGAAACATGCAGAGAGTGTTTGGTCCCCTGCTGATTTTGTGCGTTTGCCCACTGACAGGGACATGATCGGTCTGTGGTTACTGTCCAATCACAAAAGCTTCACTCTCATTTAATTTGCATATGCTCGTGATGCCTGTGATGTGTTCTGCACGGTATTTTGATAAGTATGTAAATTCATACTAATTCATCCTTCCATCTGAGGACAAAAAAACGAAATACTTTAATCCCTGCAAAAAACATTGGTTGCTATGCCTAACAATAACGGTTGCTATGCAGGCTGGCTAACATCTTCTCACTTAGCCAACTATAGGTCCTAGCTCTACAGCTGAAAGGGCTCCATTTGAGTCTGTTGTCATAGCTTTTCTATTAATATTTAATTGGATAGATCCATGATAATAATATTGTTGCATGATTTCGCCTGGATCAGAAAAGTTGATATTTTTGTATTAATTAGGATCCCCCATTAGCTGCTGCAACAGAGGTCCAAACAGGGTTAAAACAGTTACATCACAACAAAACACAACAACAGCCTACATCAATAACACAATACATCATACAATACATCATACAATACATCATACAATACATCATACAATACATTATTACTCTAATATTACAGATTTACAATATAAAATCCACAATACCACAACATTACTGTGTGTGTGTAGAGTGCACGTGTTAGTGTGTGTGTGTGTGTGTGTGTGTGTGTGTGTGTGTCAGTGTGTGTGTTAGTGTGTGTCAGTGTGTGTTAGTGTATGTGTGTTAGTGTGTGTGTGTGTGTGTGTGTGTTCGTGTGTGTGTGTGTGTTAGTGTATGTGTGTGTGTGTGTGTGTTAGTGTGTGTGTGTTAGTGTGTGTGTGTGCGTCTCTTCACAGTCTGCGTTGTGCCGTGAGGTGTTGTTTTTTAAAATCTGATTTTACTGCTCGCTTGAGAAACCTGATGTGGAAGAGAGTTCCATGTAGTCATGGCTCTATGTAGAACTGCGTGTTTCCCGAAATCTGTTCTGGACTTGGGGACTGTGAAGAGACCCCTGGTGGCATGTCTTGTGGGGGTATGTGTGGGTGTCTGAGCTGTGTGTTAGCTGTTTGAACAGACAGTTCGGCGCTTTCAACACGTCAACACCTCTCATAAAGACCAGTAGTGATGCAGTCAATCTCTCCTCTACTTTGAGCCAGCCAACTCTCTCTCTCTCTCTCTCTCTCTCTCTCTCTCTCTCTCTCTCTCTCTCTGTCCGTCGTTCCGTCCCTCTGTCTCTCTCTCTCCCGTTGCTGCCTCTGTCTCTCTGTCCTCTGTCCTCTCTCCTCTCTCGCGCTCTCTCGCTCTCTCTTCTCGCTTCTGTCGCTCTGTCTCTCTGTCTCTTCTCTGTCTCTGTCTCTGTCTCTGTCTCATGCTCTGTCTCTGTCTCGTCTCTGTCCTCTGTCTCTGTCGCTGCGTCTCTGTCTCTGTCTCTCTCTCTCTCTGTCTCGTCCTGTACTCGTCTCTGTCTGTCTCTGTCTCTGTCTCTTGTCTCTGTCTCTGTCTCCTGTCTCTCTGTCTCTGTCCTCTGTCTCTCCTCTCTCTCCCCCCCGCTCTCTCTCTCTCTCTCTCTCTCTCTCCTCTCTCTCTCTCTTCTCTCTCTCTCCTCTCTCTCCTCTCCCTACTCTCTCTCTCTCCTCCGTCTCTCTCATCTCTCGTCTCTCCGTCTCTCTCCCCCTCCTCCTCCCTCGTATCCCAGGCCTCTCTCTTGCTGCAGACTAGCATTCAGGTCTCATGCCCTCGTCTCTCTCACTCCTTGACATCCACCCTCCCAGAGCGCTGGATGACCAGTAAGGAGCTCAAGCCCTGCAGTTAGCGTTCCTCTCCAACACTCGCCCAGGAGGAGGCTGGATGAGGCGGGTTGTGAGCAGAGGAGACGGAGGGTAGAAACAGCGGACAGCCTGACAGCAGCTCAGGAGCAGCTGGAGACCAGTAGAGAGGAGCTACAGAAAGCCCTGGAACAGTTAGAGTTCCTACAGTCAAACACTGCCCAGGAGGAGAGGAGCAGAGAGAGGTAGGGAGAGGAGAGGGAGGTAGGAGAGGGAGGGAGCAAGAGAGTTAGGAGAGAGGGAGTAGGAGAGAGAGGTAGGAGAGAGGAGGAAGGAGAGAGAGGGAGGGAGAAGAGAGAGTTAGGAGAGCGGGAGGGGAGGAGAGGGAGGGAGCAGAGAGGGTTAGGAGAGAGAGAGGGAGGTAGGAGAGAGAGGTAGGAGAGACGGAGGAAGGAGAGAGAGGGAGGGAGAAGAGAGAGTTAGGAGAGCGGGAGGGGAGGAGAGGGAGGGAGCAGAGAGGGTTAGGAGAGAGAGAGAGAGGGAGGTAGGAGAGAGAGGTAGGAGAGACGGAGGAAGGAGAGAGAGGGAGAGAGAGAGAGTGTGAGACAGAGAGACAGACAGAGAGACAGACAGAGAGACAGACAGAGAGACAGACAGAGAGACAGACAGAGAGACAGACAGAGAGACAGACAGAGAGACAGACAGAGAGACAGACAGAGAGGCAGACAGAGAGACAGACAGAGAGAGACAGACAGACAGACCAGGAGAGAGACAGACAGACAGACCAGGAGAGAGACAGACAGAGCAGAGAAAGAGCAGAGAGATGTATAGTTTGCAGAGGGGAGGGGATGCTAACTCTTACATGCTTTGCCATATTCTCTGAAAAATGTAATATTTGTGTTGTTGACACTGTATGCTTGAAATTACATTTTTAGTATGTGTACGTAATCGTTGCGGGAATTGAACCCACAACCTTTGCATTGAGGTTGTCATAGGATACCTGTGTCTCCCTCTAGGACTGTGCTCAAGGTCTCCAAGAACATGCAGAAAGAAAAATACAGTCTGCAGAGACAGCTGGAGTTACTGAGGTCTGTCTGTCGGTCTGTCTGTCGGTCTGCCTGTGGTCTGTCTGTCTGTCTGTCTGTCTGTCTGTCTGCCTGTAGTCTGTGTGCTGCCTGTGGTCTGTCTGTCTGTCTGTCTGCCTGCCTGTGGTCTGTCTGCCTGCCTGTGGTCTGTCTGCCTGCCTGTGGTCTGTCTGCCTGTCTGCCTGTCTGTCTGCCTGTCTGCCTGTCTGTCTGCCTGTAGTCTGCCTGCCTGTCTGTATCTGTCTGTCTGCCTGCCTGTGGTCTGTCTGCCTGCCTGTGGTCTGTCTGCCTGGCTGTGGTCTGCCTGTCTGTCTGTCTGTCTGTCTGCCTGCCTGTGGTCTGTCTGCCTGCCTGTGCTCTGTCTGCCTGCCTGTGGTCTGTCTGCCTGCCTGTGGTCTGTCTGCCTGCCTGTGGTCTGTCTGCCTGCCTGTGCTCTGTCTGCCTGCCTGTGGTCTGTCTGCCTGGCTGTCTGTCTGCCTGCCTGTGGTCTGTCTGCCTGCCTGTGGTCTGTCTGTCTGCCTGTGGTCTGTCTGCCTGGCTGTGGTCTGTCTGTCTGCCTGGCTGTCTGTCTGCCTGCCTGTGGTCTGTCTGCCTGCCTGTGCTCTGTCTGCCTGCCTGTGCTCTGTCTGCCTGCCTGTGGTCTGTCTGCCTGGCTGTCTGTCTGCCTGCCTGTGGTCTGTCTGTCTGCCTGTGGTCTGTCTGTCTGTCTGCCTGTGGTCTGTCTGCCTGGCTGTCTGTCTGTCTGCCTGCCTGTGGTCTGTCTGCCTGCCTGTGGTCTGTCTGTCTGCCTGTGGTCTGTCTGTCTGCCTGTGGTCTGTCTGCCTGGCTGTGGTCTGTCTGTCTGCCTGCCTGTGGTCTGTCTGCCTGCCTGTGGTCTGTCTGCCTGCCTGTGGTCTGTCTGCCTGCCTGTGGTCTGTCTTACTATATGTTTAAAGTTCTTTGTTTCTGATTTGTTTATCCTCTCAGGGATATGAACAAACGTCTGAGAGATGAGAAAGACACCCATCAGTCCCAGAAGAGGGTCAGTGTTGGTCACCTGAGTCACCGACCCTCTCTCCTCCTCCATCAGTCTGTCCCCCACTCCCACTGTCTCTGTACGGGGCTCCACACCCTGGACACACCCCTACTACCCATACTAAACTATGCTAATTCTCCCTGGACACACCCCTACTACTCCTACTAAACCATGCTGGGGTGGCTTTCTCAAAGCCTTCGTAGCTAAAGTAGTACCAATTATTGTACCAATAATTTCAATCCTATGGTTTAAAGGAGGCAGCTCTAGTTGTGGGTAATATCTGGAGCTGTGATGACATTTCCGTGTCACTGTTTGTTGGGGCTCTTTTGAGAGTGGCTCTGAGCCAAACAAGGCCTGGAGGTCTTCCCTGGTCAGATCACGTTACATTGTAAGGAAAAACTCCTGGGCCTAATCATACTGTACCATAAAGAATGTTGCTGTTGTGTGTCGGTGTGGTTGTGTGTCTGTGTGGTTGTGTGTCGATGTGGTTGTGTGTCGGTGTGGTTGTGTGTAGATGTGGCGAAGGAACAGAACAATTCCGCTGGTACCTCAATTCCGCTGTCCTATCTCAACGCAAGGGAACCGGTGTTTCTGAAGTATACAGCATTATATTGTAAAAAAAAAAATAGTTTGCTGAGTGTTTTGAACAATGTTATTTTGAAGGTGTGAATATACATACATAATACTGTATCTTTAATGGTCTCTAGATTCACATGTAGCACTTTCATCTTTCTTGATCAAATGGTTTTATTTAATAAACGGAACAAAGTATTGAGAACACAGGAAGTTCTAGAAATCCAGCGTACAGTATAAGGTTGGAGAATAAACAACTACATATTTTCCTAGTTTTCCTAGTTTTCCTAGTGCAAAAGCAATGTTCCAAAAAATTACCCTAAACCTCACTGTCATGTTCGTTTACAGACGTGTCAGACCAAGGCGCAGCGTGATATGCATACATGTTTATTTGGAATTAATAAACAAGCGATAAACTAAACGAAACGTGAAGTCCAAGGTACACAAACAACATACCTTAACACGGAACAAGATCTCACTAGTGCCAATAGGCTGCCTAAGTATGGTCCCCAATCAGAGACAACGAACGACAGCTGCCTCTGATTGAGAACCACACCGGCCAACATAGATCTAGACATACTAGATACTACAACATAGAAAAAACACAACAAGGAATATACACACCCTGACTCAACATATAAGCGTCCCCTGAGTCAGGGCGTGACATACACATATTTTCCTATTTTTCCTAGTGCAAAAGCAATGTTCCAAAAATGACCCTAAACCTCATTGTAATCTCGCAGTATGATTTAATTTGAAACATGCGATCTGACGAGACGATTAGTTAACGAGAGTAAACTGAGCAATACATTCATATTTGCCTCTTCATAATACGTATTGTTGAAGGACAAGTTTCAAATTAAATCACGCTGTCAGATTATAATAAAGTTGATGGTAATTGTTGCGCAATAATAATAATAAATCGCTCCAGATCTCATAAAATGTAATATCTGTGTATTTACCTGTTAACTATTTTTGGATATGTGTGGATATTTAACGTTTACTGACCAAATAAATGTTGTTGATCACCATTTTGGTGCTGAATAAACATGATCCTATACTAAACAATACCTACATCCATTTGGTTTTCTTTCTCGTTTCTCTGCTGTTGTGTAGCCTCCTAATGTCCGAAAGCCTCTGCAGAAGAAAGGCTCAATAATAGGGAACTACATACTGCAAGACAAGCCAATCGAAAGGTTGGTTCCATCCATGATTCAGCCACTAAACAGTTTGTCAATGAGGCCAAGCGGCATAGTATATTATTAATTAGTGATATTATTAAAGTCTTCTTCTTAAAACGAAGTAGTAGGAAGATAGTAACAGTGTAGTAACTAAAGTTCGAAAAAAGTTATAGTGCGAAAAAAGTTATAGTTTATATAGTAAATAAAAAATATTTATAAAGAAAGTTATAATGACCTACCTGGAAGTTAGTAAATCATGTTTCTCTGTCCCGTTGATACTAAGACAGCTGAGCTCTTCAGCCAATCAGTAGCTGGAGGTTGGCTCAGTGGGAACACGTCCGAACTCGTCCAAGAGAGCGGAGACAGGGGGGGATTCAGAGAACAACGCTGGTGTGTGGGGGCCAACAACGGACCGCCAGACTGGACGAAAACGAAATAAATTACAGGTCAGGGTACTGTGTGGACCTTTTCAAGTGGATGGATCACGTGTTGGTGTGTTGTGGGGTGTGCTGAGTGGTGAGAGAGAGGAGAGAGAGAGAGGAGAAGGAGGATCCGAATCTCTCTCCTTTCCATTTTTCATCATGGGTCTGAGAACGGAGGTGACTCGAGGATTATGAGCGCATGATCGCCGAGTGGATTTTTGTAGTGTTGACTGAGAGTCGAGACGAGTGAATGATGCACGACGATCGAGGGAGAGAGAGGAGAGAGAGAGATCGAGACGGAGATTCTGCAGTGGGGGGAGATGGAGATGCGACTAGGAGATTGTTAGATCGAGATAGACGAGGATCACCTCCTAGAGAGTTGGTACCTCAGGAGATGAGGTTGAGTTATTACTGAGCATGAGATGAGAGAGAGTCCTTCAGATCTGAGGAGATTGTGACGATCGAATTTGTGCTGCCCGAGGGGAGATGAGACGTGCCAGCGAGAGGGAGAGAGGCAGAGAGAGAGTCGACCTCGGCATGTGAGAGGAGAGAGTTAACGAGAGTGAAGTTGAGAGTATTGAGAGAGGAGCGAGAACGAGGAAGAGGATGTTGGATGAGAGGTGAGGGGAGGGAGAGGAGGGTAAGAGGTGGAGAGATAGGGACCGGGAGAGAGAGAGAGAGAGGAGAGAGAGAAGAGAGGGAGAGAGAGAGAGGAGAGTGGGAGAGAGATTGAGCGAGAGCGAGGAGAGAAGAGATAGAGAGAGAGAGAGAGACGGAGACAGACGTCGACTGATGCCTCCGAAGATCGATGCGACCGTTTCAGGCGGAGGAAGCATTGCCGCAGGTTACGAGGAGACGAGACGGAGGAGAGCGCGAGGCCTTGTGTTACGCGAGATGTTTATGATTCCGAGGAGATGCAAGTACAGAGCCGAGTTAGGGATAGATGAGAGAGGACCCGAGGATAGGAGAGACGAGAGGGTGAGAGGAGAGAGAGACGAGAGAGGAGAGAGAGAGGATCGAGAGCGAGAGAGAGACGGGAGAGCGAGGGAAGGGGACCTAAGATGAGAGAGAGAGAGGAGAGAGAGGAAGGAGAGAGAGGGAGTTTCGAGAGAGAGAGGAGAGAGAGGAGAGGAGAGGCGAGGAGAGGAGACGAAAGGGGAGGAAGAGAAGGAGGAGGAGAAGGGAGAGACGATGGAGAGAGAGGAGAGAGAGGAGAGAATATGCAAATATAAGTGCAGAGGACATTTGAATCTGTAAAAACCTGCGGAAAGTCTGGGACAACATACTGATCATGAGGACTGGAAATTAGAGAGACAAGCTGAAACGAACAACGTCCCATACCCCCATCTTCTCCTTCCTCTACAGGCCAGACTGACCAGCCCCCACCCTCAGAGGGTATTCAAGGTGGTGTTTTTGGGGAACTCTGGAGTGGGCAAGAGCTCCTTCATCCACCACATACTGCGGGACCACTTCCCAAATACAACTGGTACTAGCTGTGGGTAAAGAAGAGTTTAGACCCATATAACACACTGGGTATTCTGTGGGTTAAAATGAGTAGAACCCAATAACCACCACTGGTCTACTACTGTGGGTTTAAGAGAGTTAGACCCAATAACACACTGGGTACTACTGTGGGTAAATGAGTTAGACCCAATAACACACTGGGTATTACTGTGGTTAAGAGAGTTAGACCCAATAACACAGTGGGTATTGCTGTGGGTAAATGAGTTAGACCCAATAACACACTGGGTATTACTGTGGGTAGGAGAGTTAGACCCAATAACACAGGGGTTACTGTGGGTAGGAGAGTTAGACCCAATAACACACTGGGTATTACTGTGGGTAAGAGAGTTAGGGCCCCAATAACACCAGGGTATGACTGTGGGTAGGAGGTGCCAAGAACACAGTGGGATTCCTGGGGGGGTTAAGAGGAGTTAGACCAATACACACACCGGGTATTACTGTGGTTAAGAGCGTAGACCCAATAACACAGTTGGGTTTAATGTGCTGTGGGTGTTAAAGAGTAGAACCCACTAACACCACTGGGGTTAATACTGTGGGTTAAATGAGTTAGACCATATAACACCACGGCTACTTCTGTGGGTACGAGAGTTAGAACATTTAACACACTCGTTGCGCTACACTGGGGGTAAATGAGTTAGACCCAATAACACACTGGGTATTACTGTGGGTAGGAGAGTTAGACCCAATAACACACTGGCTACTACTGTGGGTAAGAGAGTTAGGATCGCCAATAACCCATGGGGAGTACTTGTGGTAAGAGAGTTGACCCAAACACAGTGGGCTTATGGGGTAATATGAGTTAGACCCATAACACATGGGTATTACTTTGGGTTAGGAGAGGTAGAGCCCCCAAAACACACGGTATTTAAGGTGGGGTTAAGAGAGTGTAGGACCCATAACACACTGGGTATAATGTTGGTAGGGAGAGTTAGAACCCTAATAACACTCACTGGTATTACTGTGGGTAAGAGAGTTAGACCCACCACACATGGAGGATACTGTGGTTTAAGAGGAAGTTAGACCATATAACCACAGTGGTATTAATGTGGGTAAGGTAAATGCGGTAGACCAATAACACACTGGGTATTCTGTGGGTAAATGGTTAGGAACAATAAACATGGGGATAGCTGTGGTAAATGAGTTAGACCCAATAACACACTGGGTATTACTGTGGGTAAATGAGTTAGACCCAATAACACACTGGGTATTATGGGGGCAGTATAATTGGTGAGATCCAATAACACAATGGGATACGTGGGTAAATGAGTTAGACCCAATAACACAGTAGGTATTACTGTGGGTAGGAGAGGGACCAATAACAACGGGTTCTACTGTGGGAAAATGAGTTAGACCCATAACACATCTGGGTAAATTATTACTTGGGTAAGTAAATGGACATAGACCCAATAAAACTGGTTATACTGTGTGAAATGAGTTAGACCCCAATAACACAAGGGGTATTACTGTGGGTTAGGAGAGTTAGAACCCATAACACACAGGGTATACTGGGGTAAAGAGTTAGACCAATAACACACGGGGGTATACTGTTGGGTAAATGAGTTAGACCCAATAACACACTGGGTATTACTGTGGGTAAGAGAGTTAGACCCAATAACACACTGGGTATTACTGTGGGTAGGAGAGTTAGACCCAATAACACACTGGGTATTACTGTGGGTAAATGAGTTAGACCCAATAACACACTGGTATTACTGGGGGAAAAGAAGTTAGAACCAATAAACACCACTGGGGAGGTATATGTGGGAGGCGAGTTAGACCCATCACGCTGGGTTAATACTGTGGGTAAGAGAGTTAGACCCAACAACACACTGGGTATTACTGTGGGTAAGAGAGTGTAGAACACAATACACATGGGTATTAATGGGGTAGGAGAGTAGACCCAATAAAACCACATGGATTACGGGGGTAAGAGAGTTAGACCCCAATAACACACGGGGTCTTACGGGTATTACAGGGGAATAGGGGAGATAGTGGACTACATGGGGAATAGGGGAGGATAGGGACGACAGGGGGAGATAGGGGATGGAGGGTAGTGGACTACATGGGGAATAGGGGAGGATAGTGGACTACATGGGGAATAGGGGAGGATAGTGGACTACATGGGGAATAGGGGAGGTAGTGGACTACATGTGAAATAGGGGAGGATAGTGGACTACATGGGGAATAGGGGAGGATAGTGGACTACATGGGGAATAGGGGAGATAGTGGACTACATGGGGAATAGGGGAAGTCATTTCAGACACAACCTTTGTCTTTATCCTTCAGCAATGAGGCAGAACATCCTGTTGATATGTCAGCATTATGTGTATTTATTTAATGGATTGTGGAGATGACTCTATAATGGTCTGTGTGTTGACTGCAGGTGTAGACTTCCAGATGCGTACAGTGACACTGGGCTCCACCACCATCGCTCTTCAGCTCTGGGACACTGCAGGACAGGAGAGGTGTGTGTGTCTGTGAGTCTGTGGAGGCTCCTCGGAGGAGGAAGGGGAGGACCATCCTCAGTGAATTTCAGAAAAAATAAATATTGTGAAACAAAAAAAAGTAATCATTTTTGGATAAAACTATACTAAATATATTAATGTCACCAAATAATTGATTAAAACGCACTGTTTTGCGATGAAGGTCTACAGTAGCCTCAGCAGCACTCTGTAGGGTAGCGCCATGGTGTAGCCAGAGGACAGCTAGCTACCGTCCTCCTCTGGGTACATTGACTTCAATACAAAACCTAGGAGGCTCATGGTTCTCACCCACTTCTATAGACTTGCACAGTAATTATGACAACTTCCGGAGGACATCCTCCAGCCTATCAGAGCTCTTGCAGCATGAACTGACATGTTGTCCACCCAATCAAAAGATCAGAGAATGAATCTAGTACTGAAAGCATAAGCTACAGCTAGCTAGCGCTGCAGTGCATAAAATGTGGTGAGTAGTTGACTCAAAGACAGAGAAAGACAATCGTTGAACAGTTTTGAACAAATTAATTTCTTTAAAAATGCTAGTGAATGCAGCTAGCTAGTTTAGCCTACTCAAACACCTAACTCAAACAGAGAGGGATGCTATGTTAGCTAGGTGGCTATGACTATCCAACACTGGAACTGGTCCTCTGTAGCTCAGCTGGTAGAGCACGGCGCTTGTAACGCCAAGGTAGTGGGTTCGATCCCCGGGACCACCCATACACAAAAATGTATGCACGCATGACTGTAAGTCGCTTTGGATAAAAGCGTCTTCTAAATGGCATATTATTCCAAGTTCAGGTAAATTAAGGTAAGCTTTTGGTTTTATTCATTTATTGCCACCAGGGGGCCCGCCGGCGTAACTGCTAAACTGCTTTCTGACTGTACATTGTACTGCGTGATTGTAGCGGGTTTACTAACAAGTTAGTTCTTGTAGCTACAGTGTTCAGACCCCTTGACTTTCCACATTTTGTTACGTTACGGCCTTATTCTAAAATGGATTAAATAAATAAAAATCCTCAGCAATCTACACACAATACCTAATAATGACAAAGTGAAAACAGGTTTTAATTTTTTTGTGCAGCATTGAAGGTCCCCAAGAACACAGTGGCCTCCATCATTCTTAAATGGAAGAAGTTTGGAACCACCAAGACTCTTCCTAGAGCTGGCCGCCTGGCCAAACTGAGCAATCAGGGGAGAAGGGCCTTGGTCAGGGAGGTGACCAAGAACCCGATGGTCACTGTGACAGAGCTCTAGAGTTCCTCTGTGGAGATAGGAGAACCTTCCAGAAGGACAACCATCTCTGCAGCACTCCACCAATCAGGCCTTTATGGTAGAGTGGCCAGACGGAAACCACTCCTCAGTAAAAGGCACATGACAGCCCACTTGGAGTTTGCCAAAAGGCACCTAAAGACTCTCAGACCATGAGAAACAAGATTCTCTGGTCTGATGAAACCAAGATTGAACTCTTTGGCCTGAATGCCAAGCGTCACTTCTGAAGGAAACCTGGCACCATCCCTACGGTGAAGCATGGTGGTGGCAGCATCATGCTGTGGGGATGTTTTTCAGTGGCAGGGACTGGGAGACTAGTCAGGATAGAGGGAAAGATGAATGGAGCAAAGTACAGAGAGATCCTTGATGAAAACCTGCTCCAGAGCGCTCAGGACCTCAGACTGGGGCGAAGGTTCACCTTCCAACAGGACGATGACCCTAAGCACACAGCCAAGACAACGCAGGAGTGGCTTTGGGACAAGTCTCTGAAAATCCTTGAGTGGCCCAGCCAGAGCCCGGACTTGAACCCGATCGAACATCTCTGGAGAGACCTGAAAATAGCTGTGCAGCGACGCTCCCCATCCAACCTGACAGCGCTTGAGAGGATCTGCAGAGAAGAATGGGAGAAACTCCCTAAATACAGGTGTGCCAAGCTTGTAGCATCATACCCAAGAAGACTCGAGGCTGTAATCGCTGGCAAAGGTGCTTCAACAAAGTACTGAGTAAAGAGTCTGAATACTTTTGTAAATTGGATATTTTAATATTTATTTTTCGCAAAATTTTCAAAAAATCTGTTTTTGCTTTGTCATTATGGGATATTGTATATAGATTGATGAGGAAACAAAAACAATTTCAGCAATTTTAGAATAAGGCTGTAACCTACCAAAATGTGGAAAAGGTCAAGGGGTCTGAATACTTTCCGAAGGCTCTGTATGTTGACTGATGTTAATATGGTGACAACGATGTAGGCTGTGTGTAGCGGTTATGATATGACGGTTTGGTTTGGAAAGGTTTTTTTCGCCTGGTCATAGACAGCTGATGTGTTGTGCACTGAAGTCCACAAGCAAAGGGAAAAGGTGAGGGGAGGAGAGCACGTAGATGCGAGAAGTAATTATACAATGATTAAAGGGATCATGCAGTTTGTATATGGCTGCAATGAAAGTTAACTGCGTTTGCGGGTGATCAGGGGTGTATTCATTCTGTAGATTCTGTTGAAAAACATTTCTTAAACGGAAGCAAACGGAACGAAACGGGGTAAACATACCTGAATTTGTCCAATAGAAACTCTCGTTTGCAACTGTTGGACTAATGATTACACCCTAGATCAGCTAGATGCAGGCAAGAGTGCGCAAGGAGGTATTGAATGTGTCAATGTCTGTCACCTTGATTACTCAAAATTCTCTTGGCTATGTTGTAAACTTTCATTCATAAGCTAGGTTGTTACATTGAGCTGGGTGGATGGAATATGAATGACAGTCATCCAATATGCTGTAATATAAATAAGGCCATGCTCATTAAAAAAAGAATCATCCTCCCTCATCTTAAATGGCACCAACCGCCACTGGTCTGTGTGTGTGTGTGGTAAATTAGTCCTCCCTCTTGTCCAAGGTTCCGCAGCATCACCCAGCAGTACTATCGCAAGGCGGATGGAATCCTCACCATGTATGACATCACTGACTCCGCCTCCTTCTCCGCGGTCAGAGAGTGGATGGACCTTGTGCAAGTGAGTGGATGGACAGGTGAAGGGGCAGGGCTTTACGATGTTATGGTGTTTTGACATGCAAATAAATTATTGGAAGTATTTTGCATACAACCCCCATCATGTGACAGGTTGTTGGGCAATATAATTTTGCATACAACCCCCATCATGTGACAGGTTGTTGGGCAATATAATTTTGCATACAACCCCCATCATGTGACAGGTTGTTGGGAAATATCTACATACTGTATGACAAGTCCTTTTGGCACTTTATGGCATTTATGCAGGTGAATGAGTGGTTTACTATAGTGGAAGATATTTAAGTTTTTTTTCTCAGTTTGATATTTAATGAAGTCAGAGTATAGTAGGCAATTATAGAATATGTCTGATAGTAACCTGTTAATTAATAATATATCTGTGATAGTAACCTGTTAATTAATAATATATCTGTGATAGTAACCTGTTAATTAATAATATGTCTGTGATAGTAACCTGTTAATTAATAATATATCTGTGATAGTAACCTGTTAATTAATAATATATCTGTGATAGTAACCTGTTAATTAATAATATATCTGTGATAGTAACCTGTTAATTAATAATATGTCTGTGATAGTAACCTGTTAATTAATAATATATCTGTGATAGTAACCTGTTAATTAATAATATATCTGTGATAGTAACCTGTTAATTAATAATATATCTGTGATAGTAACCTGTTAATTAATAATATATCTGTGATAGTAACCTGTTAATTAATAATATGTCTGTGATAGTAACCTGTTAATGAGGTAATATATCTGTGATAGTAACCTGTTAATTAATAATATATATGTGATAGTAACCTGTTAATTAATAATATATCTGTGATAGTAACCTGTTAATTAATAATATATCTGTGATAGTAACCTGTTAATGAGGTAATATATCTGTGATAGTAACCTGTTAATTATATATGCTGTATATGTACAGTGCCGTGAAAAACTATTTGCCCCCTTTCTAATTTTCTCTATTTTTGCATATTTTTGATACTGTAAGGTAGACGCAGGGAGTCAGGTAGCAGGTGCAGTTAGTGAGTTTAATAACAACGAACATGGAACAATACAAAACAAGAGAAGCGTCTGACATGGAAACACAAACAATACTACCTGGTGACTGACAAAACAGAGTGCTAGGTAAATGGTAAGTAATGAAAGTAGTAATGTAAAGTAAAGTCCAGGTGTGACTGATGATGAGACGTAGGTGTGCGTAATGATGGGTTGCCAGGTGTGCGTAAAGGTGGGTTGCCAGGACAGGTGGTTAGTAGACCGGTGATGTTGAGTGCCAGAGAGGGAGTAGACCCTGGCGGCGGACGGCGCGCTGGAGTCTCACATGGGCATCGTTCCATACCTCTTCTGCGCGCCTGAACCACTCATCCACCGCAGGAGCTTCGGTCTGGCTCGGAGTCCACGGAGCCAGGGCTGGCTGATAACCCAGAACACACTGGAAGGGAGTTAGCCCGGTGGAGGAGTGTCGCAATGAATTCTGGGCTTATTCAGCCCAGGGAAGGAATCGGGCCCATTCCCCCTGCCGGTCCTGGCAGTGGCTCCTCAGGAACCTCCCCAGCTCCTGGTTCATCCTCTCCACCTGCCTGTTAGACTGTGTCCGGTACCCGGAAGTAAGGCTGACCGTGAACTCCAGCTTCTCCATGAAGGCCATCCATACACGTGACGTGAATTGAAGGCCACGGTCGGAGATGATATCTTCAGGACCTGCTGGAACAGTGCCTCAGCTACCTGGATAGCGTTAAGGAGACCAGAGAGAGGGATGAAACGGCTTGATTTAGAGAATCTGTCCACTATCACCAAAATGGTGGTAAAACCATCAGAAGAGGGGAGATCAGTGACAAAGTCAATGGACAGAGGAGACCAGGAACGCTGAGGCATGGGAAGTTTCCCTGCTGGAGCATTCCGGGGGGATTTGGATTGGGCACATATGGAACAGGAGTTGACATAACAAGTGACGTCCTGCGCCAAGGTGGGCCACCAGTACTTTCCAGAGATGGACTGAATGGTGCGGGTGATACCTCGATGTCCAGCGACGACAGCTGTCAAGCACTCAAGACAGGAACCTCTCCCGAATCGTAGAGATGGGACCGGGCGTCGGCTTTGATTTGTTTTTAACCTGGGCGATATGTCAGCGTGAAATCGAATCTGGTGAAGAAAAGGGCCCACCTGGCTTGTTCAGTCGCCCTCCCGTATGTACTCCAGGTTCCGATGGTCGGTGAGGATGAGGAACGGGTCCTTGGCGCCCTCCACCCAGTGTCTCCACTCCTCTAATGCCAACTTCACCGCCAGGAGCTCCCGTTTACCAACATCATAGTTCCTCTCTGCAGGAGACAGCTTTTTAGAGGATGGGATACAATTTCTGTGGATTACCTTGACGTTGGGACAGGACAGCCCCCACACCTACTTCTGAAGCGTCCGCCTCCACCACGAGGGGCAGCGTAGAATCTGGATGTTTGAGCAACGGGGTGGAGGTGAAACAACCCTTCGGTAGGCGGAAGGTAGGCGGGGACCACCCTTGAGGAGAGAAGTGAGAGGAGAGGCGATCAATCTAAAGTTCTTAATGAATTGGCGGTAGAAGTTGGCAAATCCCAAAAAACCGTTGGTTGGGACTGGCCATGACCTTACAGCATCCACCTTCCTCTCATCCATCGTGACTCCTTGCGGGCCGATCTTGGTAACCCAAAAAGGAGACATCCTCCTGATGGAATTTGCCACTTCTCCGCTTTGACGTACAGATGGTTGGCCAGGAGGCGTTCCAGGACCACTCGGACGTGAGCGATGTGATCCTCCAAGGTAGCCGAGTAGACCAGGATGTCGTCGATATACACGACCCACCTGGCGTCCAAGCATGTCCCGGAACACCTCGTTGACAAATGCCTGGAACACTAACGGCGCATTGGCTAATCCAAAAGGCATCTCCAAGTACTCGTAGTGACCAGACATCGTGCTGAAGGCCATCTTCCATTCATCTCCCTCCCGGATGCGGATCAAATTGTAGGCACTACGCAGGTCCAACTTGGTAAAAAACTGGGCCCCGTCAGAGTTGTTAGATTGTAACCGGCACCAACGGGAGAAGGTAGCTGTACTTCGTGGTGATGGAATTCAGATTTTCTGTAATCGATGCGCGGGTGCAACCCTCTGTCTTTCTTGGCCACGAAGAAGAAGCCTTCCGACGCAGGGGAGGTGGACCTGCTGGGGCGCTTCCTGGATGTACTCCTCCATAGCCTTGGTTTCAGCCACCGACAGAGGGTAGATGCGGCCACGAGGTGGCGCGGGTTTTGGAAAAAACCTCCCGAAGATTACTGGTATACCTCTGGGATGTTGGGCTGAAGGTCAACCACAGGACTCTCAACCGACGTGGAACCACAGGGAAAGGAAAAGCAGGTCTTCCCCAATTCAGGTGCCCAGTCGGTGATGAGGGAGGGAATGCTTTCTTGATGTGTGAATTCCACGGTGAGAGTGAGTGGTGCTGTGATGTGTGTGATTGTCCGGATCCTAGTCGTTGACTATCCAGCACTTGAACCGGACAAGGAGAGGAGAGAAAGAGAAATGACAGTCCATCATTACTTTAAGACATGAAGGTCAGTCAATACGGAACATGAAAGTTTCTTCAAGTGCAGTCGCAAAAAACATCAAGCACTATGATGAAACTGGCTCTCATGAGGACCGCCACAGGAATGGAAGACCCATAAATACCTCTGCTGCAGAGGATAAGTTAATTAGAGCTACCAGCCTCAGAAATCGGCATTTAACTGCACCTCAGATTGCATCCCAAATAAATGCTTCACAGAGTTCAAGTAACAGACACATCTCAACATCAACTGTTCAGAGGGGACTGCGTGAATCAGGCCTTCATGGTCGAATTGCTGCAAAGAAACCACTACTAAAGGACACCAATAATAAGAAGAGACTTGCTTGGGCCAAGAAACACGAGCAATGGACATTTGACCGGTGGAAATGTGTCCTTTGGTCTGATGAGTCGAAATTTCCGATTTTTGGTTCCAACCGCTGTTTCTTTGTGAGACGCAGAGTAGGTGAACGGATGATCTCTGCATGTGTGGTTCCCACCGTGAAGCATGGAGGAGGAGGTGTGGGGGTGCTTTGCTGGTGACACTGTCAGTGATTTATTTAGAATTCAAGGCACACTCTTAACCAGCATGGCTACCACAGCATTCTGCAGCGATACGCCTGTTTTGTGCTTAGTGGGACTATCATTTGTTTTTCAACAGGACAATGACCCAAAACACACCTCCAGGCTGTGTAAGGGCTATTTGACCAAGAAGGAGAGTGATGGAGTGCTGCATCAGATGACCTGGCCTCCAATCACCCGACCTCAACCCAATTGAGATGGTTTGGGATGAGTTGGACCGCAGAGTGAAGGAAAAGCAGCCAACAAGTGCTCAACATATGTGGGAACTCCTTCAAGACTGTTGGAAAAGCATTCCAGGTGACTACCTCATGAAGCTGGTTGAGAGAATGCCAAGAGTGTGCGAAGCTGTCATCAAGGCAAAGGGTGGCTACTTTGAAGAATCTAAAATCTAAAATATATTTTGATTTGTTTATCACTTTTTTGGTTACTGCATGATTCCATACGTGTTATTTCATAGTTTTGATGTCTTCGCTATTATTCTACAATGTAGAAAATAGTAAAAATAAAGAATAACCCTGGAATGAGTAGGTGTGTCCAAGCTTTTGACTGGTACTGTATATATACAATATGTCTATGATAGTAACCTGTTAATTAATGATATATGTATGTCCATGATAGTAACCTGTTAATGATGCAATATGTCTATGATATTAACCTGCTTCTCTTCTGTACTAGGAGAGGATGTCTGAGGGGGCGGTCCTGATGCTGCTGGGGAACAAAATGGACTTATCAGAAGCTCAGAAGAGGGAGGTTACCACCAGAGAGGGACAGCGATTGGCTGAGGTAAGATTATATTCTGATGACTGATGAGCCTTCAGGACTTCTAATGGCTGAGGTTGTTTTTACTACTATAACTACTATGTACTTCTATATTTAGTTTAGTTTACTATGTGTACTACTATAACTACTACAGTGGGGAGAACAAGTATTTGATACACTGCCGATTTTGCAGGTTTTCCTACTTACAAAGCATGTAGATGCCTGTAATTTTTGTCATAGGTACACTTCAACTGTGATAGACGGAATCTATAACAAAAATCCAGAAAATCACATTGTATGATTTTTAAGTAATTAATTAGCATTTTATTGCATGACATAAGTATTTGATACATCAGAAAAGCAGAACTTAATATTTGTTAGAGAAACCTTTGTTTGCAATTACAGAGATAATATGTTTCCTGTAGGTCTTGACCAGGTTTGCACACACTGCAGCAGGGATTTTGGCCCACTCCTCCATACATACCTTCTCCAGATCCTTCAGGTTTCGGGTCTGTCGCTGGGCAATACAGACTTTCAGCTCCCTCCAAAGATTTTCTATTGGGTTCAGGTCTGGAGACTGGCTAGGCCACTCCAGGACCTTGAGATGCTTCTTACGGAGCCACTGCTTAGTTGCCCTGGCTGTGTGTTTCGGGTCGCTGTCATGCTGGAAGACCCAGCCACGACCCATCTTCAATACTCTTACTGAGGGAAGGAGGTTGTTGGCCAAGATCTCGCGATACATGGCCCCATCCATCCTCCCCTCAATACGGTGCAGTCGTCCTGTCCCCTTTGCAGAAAAACATCCCCAAAGAATGATGCTTCCACCTCCATGCTTCACGGTTGGGATGGTGTTCTTGGGGTTGTACTCATCCTTCTTCTTCCTCCAAACACAGCGAGTGGAGTTTAGACCAAAAAGCTCTATTTTTGTCTCATCAGACCACATGACCTTCTCCCATTCCTCCTTTGGATCATCCAGATGGTCATTGGCAAACTTCAGACGGGCCTGGACATGCGCGGCAGGATTTTAATCCATGACGGCGTAGTGTGTTACTAATGGTTTTCTTTGAGACTGTGGTCCCAGCTCTCTTCAGGTCATTGACCAGGTCCTGCCATGTAGTTCTGGGCTGATCCCTCACCTTCCTCATGGTCATTGATGCCCCACGAGGTGAGATCTTGCATGGAGCCCCAGACCGAGGGTGATTGACCGTCATCTTGAACTTCTTCCATTTTCTAATAATTGCGCCAACAGTTGTTGCCTTCTCACCAAGCTGCTTGCCTATTGTCCTGTAGCCCATCCCAGCCTTGTGCAGGTCTACCATTTTATCCCTGATGTCCTTACACTGCTCTCTGGTCTTGGCCATTGTGGAGAGGTTGGAGTCTGTTTGATTGAGTGTGTGGACAGGTGTTTTTTATACAGGTAACGAGTTCAAACAGGTGCAGTTAATACAGGTAATGAGTGGAGAACAGGAGGGCTTCTTAAAGAAAAACTAACAGGTCTGTGAGAGCCGGAATTCTTACTGGTTGGTAGGTGATCAAATACTTATGTCATGCAATGAAATGCAAATTAATTACATAAAAATCATACAGTGTGATTTTCTGGATTTTTGTTTTAGATTCCGTCTCTCACAGTTGAAGTGTACCTATGATAAAAATTACAGACCTCTACATGCTTTGTAAGTAGGAAAACCTGCAAAATCGGCAGTGTATCAAATACTTGTTCTCCCCACTGTATACACTTCTATATGTACTTCTATATTTAGTTTAGTTTACTATGTGTACTACTATTTAACTACTATGGACTTTATGTTTAGTTTAGTTTACTATGTGTACTACTATTTACTTATATGTTTAGTAATGTCAGGTAGTTCAGTCTGAACATGTCTGTTGAAATGTCTAACATAGTGTAGCGTACTGTAGTGTAGCGTAGCGTAGCGTAGTGTAGCGTACTGTAGTGTAGCGTACTGTAGTGTGGTGTACTGTGGTGTAGCGTACTGTAGTGTAGCGTACTGTAGTGTAGTGTAGTGTAGCGTACTGTAGTGTAGCGTACTGTAGTGTGGTGTACTGTGGTGTAGCGTACTGTAGTGTAGCGTACTGTAGTGTGGTGTAGCGTACTGTAGTGTAGCGTACTGTAGTGTAGCGTACTGTAGTGTAGCGTACTGTAGTGTAGTGTGGCGTACTGTAGCGTACTGTAGTGTAGCGTACTGTAGCGTACTGTAGTGTAGCGTACTGTAGTGTAGCGTACTGTAGCGTACTGTAGCGTACTGTAGTGTAGCGTACTGTAGCGTAGCGTACTGTAGTGTAGCGTAGTGTAGCGTAGTGTAGCGTACTGTAGTGTAGCGTGCTGTAGTGTGGCGTACTGTAGTGTGGCGTACTGTAGTGTAGCGTACTGTAGTGTGGTGTACTGTGGTGTAGCGTACTGTAGTGGAGCGTACTGTAGTGGAGCGTACTGTAGTGTAGCGTACTGTAGTGTAGTGTAGCGTAGTGTAGCGTAGTGTAGCGTACTGTAGTGTGGCGTACTGTAGTGTGGCGTACTGTAGTGTAGCGTACTGTAGTGTAGTGTAGCGTACTGTAGTGTGGCGTACTGTAGTGTGGCGTACTGTAGTGTAGCGTACTGTAGTGTGGTGTACTGTGGTGTAGCGTACTGTAGTGTAGCGTACTGTAGTGTGGTGTACTGTGGTGTAGCGTACTGTAGTGTAGCGTAGTGTAGCGTAGTGTAGCGTACTGTAGTGTAGCGTACTGTAGTGTAGCGTACTGTAGTGTAGCGTACTGTAGTGTAGCGTACTGTAGTGTGGCGTACTGTAGTGTGGCGTAGTGTAGCGTACTGTAGTGTAGCGTACTGTAGCGTACTGTAGTGTAGCGTACTGTAGTGTAGCGTACTGTAGTGTAGCGTAGTGTAGCGTACTGTAGCGTACTGTAGTGTAGCGTACTGTAGTGTAGCGTACTGTAGTGTAGCGTACTGTTGTGTAGCGTACTGTAGTGTAGCGTGGTGTAGCGTACTGTAGTGTAGCGTACTGTAGTGTAGCGTACTGTAGCGTACTGTAGTGTAGCGTACTGTAGTGTAGCGTGGTGTAGCGTACTGTAGTGTAGCGTACTGTAGTGTAGCGTACTGTAGCGTACTGTAGTGTAGTGTACTGTAGTGTAGCGTAGTGTGGCGTAGTGTAGTGTACTGTAGTGTAGCGTACTGTAGCGTACTGTAGTGTAGCGTACTGTAGTGTAGCGTAGTGTAGCGTACTGTAGTGTGGCGTACTGTAGTGTGGCGTGGCGTGATGTTGTTTCGTGTTGTGTGTTCTCTACAGCAGGACAAGGCAGTGTTCTATGAATGTAGCGCTAGGAGTGGATACAACATAGAGGAACTGATGACACAGCTGGCATGGTATGTATAACATTACAGCTGGCATGGTATGGATAACATTACAGCTGGCATGGTATGTATAACATTACAGCTGGCATGGTATGGATAACATTACAGCTGGCATGGTATGTATAACATTACAGCTGGCATGGTATGTATAACATTACAGCTGGCATGGTATGGATAACATTACAGCTGGCATGGTATGTATAACATTACAGCTGGCATGGTATGGATAACATTACAGCTGGCATGGTATGGATAACATTACAGCTGGCATGGTATGGATAACATTACAGCATGCATGGTATGGATAACATTACAGCTGGCATGGTATGGATAACATTACAGCTGGCATGGTATGTAGAACAACATCTCAGTGCACCTCCACCATAGACAACATTAGACTAAAGTCGGTAACACTTTACTTGACACCCAGCGTCATTAATTGCTTGATAAACGGCTTTAAGCTATATATCACAGCCATCTAGCCACAATAAATGAATTACACAGAACATTTGGTTCAGGATTCCAGCACTGCAGGCGGCGATAAATCACCAATAGTAGCTTTATGCTTTTTTTCAAACACAAAATTATTAGAAAAATGCACTACTTTAAAATGGAGATAGCTAACCTCAATGGCGCTGCCCATGCTGTCAGGGACGCCATAATGGCACAGACACAAAGATAAGTGCTCTTTCTATGTCCATGGTGGTGACAGCAAAATCATCTGCCCGCTGCAAGGCAGCATTAACTCCACACACAGACAGCATTAACTCCACACACAGACAGCATTAACTCCACACACAGGCAGCATTAACTCCACACACAGGCAGCCTTTAACTCCACACACAGGCAGCATTAACTCCACACACAGGCAGCATTAACTCCACACACAGACAGCATTAACTCCACACACAGACAGCATTAACTCCACACACAGGCAGCATTAACTCCACACACAGACAGCATTACACACAGACAGCATTACACACAGGCAGCATTAACTCCACACACAGGCAGCATTAACTCCACACACAGACAGTATTAACTCCACACACAGACAGCATTACACACAGGCAGCATTAACTCCACACACAGGCAGCATTAACTCCACACACAGGCAGCATTAACTCCACACACAGGCAGCATTAACTCCACACACAGACAGCATTAACTCCACACACAGACAGCATTAACTCCACACACAGACAGCATTAACTCCACACACACAGGCAGCATTAACTCCACACACAGAGACAGCATTAACTCCACAGGTTTACATTGACCTTTCTGATTGTAGTCTCTCTCAGCCCAGTGATCAGTTTAAAAGTCTGTGATCGTTTTTGCGAAAAAGATCAGCTTCACGAAAACATCTCTCCCATTTCATCTCTCTATAGGATGTTATCGGCCCAGCAGGATCAGCAGTGTGAGGAGACTCTCCGTCTGTCAGCTGACCACTCCTCCAACGGAGACAACAGGAAGACCTGCTGCAAGTAGGAGAGGAACATAGAGCCAGAAAGAGGGATTCTCTTTGTATCTGTGACATCATGGCTGTTGTGACATCATTGGGCAACGCCATTGAGGAGGACTATCTCCATTTTAAAAGGGGTCAATTTTCTTCTTCTTCTTTTTTGTTTAAAAAAAAAAAGCGTTAAGCTGAACAAAAATATAAACATAAGCCGTTTTTAGAGAATTTGGCAGTACGTCCAACCGGCCTCACAACCGCAGACCACGAGTAACAACGCCAGCCCAGGACCTCCACATCCGGATTCTCTCTCTCTCTTCTTCTCTCTTCTTTCTCTTCTCGCTCTCTCATCTCTCGCTTCCCATACTCTCTATCTCTCTCTCTATCGCTCTCCTACTCCCTTCTTTTCTCTCCATCTCTCCTCTCTTCTCTTCATCACTCTCACTCTCTCTCTCTCTCTCACCCTCTCTCACTCTCTCTTCGTCTCTCGTCTCTCTTCTCTATCCTCTCTCTCTCTCACCCTCTCTCTGTTCTCTCTCTCACCCTCTCTCTCTCTCTTCTCTCTCTATCTCTCCCTCTCTCCTCTCTCCCTTCTCTCTCTCTCCTCTCTGCTCTCTCTCTCACTCTCTCTTTCTCTCTCACTCTCTCACTCTCACTCTCTCTCTCTCTCTGTCTCTCTTCACCTGCGGGATCGTCTGAGACCAGCCGCCCGGACATCTGATGAAAATGAATCAGACGATGACTCAGTAAAATCGTTGAAATTGTTTCATGTTGCGTTTAATTTTTTTGTTCAGTATAATATTGGTGATTTACAGCTACCTGCAGTGCTGGTGTTCTGAACCATTTTATTTAGCGGCGGGGGGGGGGGGGGGAATGCATTTGTTTATTGTGGCCTGTAGATGGCAGTAATATAGCTAAAAAGCCATAAAAAACGTTATAGGCAACCCAATTTGAAAAAGAAGGTTAATGCTCTGATCATTGACTGATCACTCTCAAAGCACAGGAATCCCCACCCAAGGGACTACTTTAAAATGGCGGAAGCCCTTCAATGGCAACGTCCATGCTAAAAACGGGTTCTATCCATCCAGAGCCCTCTTTCTACTTCTGACAGGAAACACGAGGGACTCATCCATGGTCCAAAGCTGATCTAGCAACGCGTGTGTGGAACAGTGGAACAGTGAGATTAGGTTACGATACCCTTTAACCTAAGCACTTTAAAATACCCATCTTCACCTCTGTGTGTGTGGGCCTGCAAGACACTGTTACACACATGACTGGACTGTATTTTTTTTGTATTCTTCATATACAGTAAATACATCAACAGTTCTGAACAGGTTTTCTGTCATGTATTATATAGACTGCTACAATATTGTCTATGTAAATATGTTTACTGTAAAGTATTATATAGAAAGCTGCAACATTGTCTATGTAAATATGTTTACTGTAAAGTATTATATAGACTGATACAACATTGTCTATGTAAATATGTTTACTGTAAAGTATTATATAGACTGATACAACATTGTCTATGTAAATATGTTTACTGTAAAGTATTATATAGACTGATACGACATTGTCTATGTAAATATGTTTACTGTAAAGTATTATATAGACTAATACAACATTGTCTATGTAAATAGTGTTGTTGTGTATTGTGATACCAATAAAGACAGTTATTGGTAACTCCTGAGACTATACATCCTCTGTACTTCTGCATCAAATGTCTTCACTTCAGCCTCTGTGTTCTTCATTATGATATTGTGTTTGGCAACTATTGACCAATAAGTCATGTACACTGAACAGCCTGCAGGTGGCAGCCATGCTCTTTTCTTAGCCTGTGATCTGTCTGTGTTTGCTTACCTCTCTGCTGTCTGTTTCTGCTTACCTCTCTGCTGTCTGCTTGTCTAACCTCTCTGCTGTCTGCTTGTCTAACCTCTCTGCTGTCTGCTTGTCTAACCTCTCTGCTGTCTGCTTTTCTTACCTCTCTGCTGTCTGCTTGTCTAACCTCTCAGCTGTCTGCTTGTCTTACCTCTCTGCTGTCTGCTTGTCTTACCTCTCTGCTGTCTGCTTGTCTAACCTCTCTCTGTCTGTTTCTGCTTACCTCTCTGCTGTCTGCTTGTCTAACCTCTCTCTGTCTGCTTGTCTAACCTCTCTGCTGTCTGCTTGTCTAACCTCTCTGTCTGCTTGTCTTACCTCTCTGCTGTCTGCTTGTCTAACCTCTCTCTGTCTGCTTGTCTAACCTCTCTGTCTGCTTGTCTTACCTCTCTGCTGTCTGCTTGTCTAACCTCTCTGTCTGCTTGTCTTACCTCTCTGCTGTCTGCTTGTCTTACCTCTCTGCTGTCTGCTTGTCTAACCTCTCAGCTGTCTGCTTGTCTTACCTCTCTGCTGTCTGCTTGTCTTACCTCTCTGCTGTCTGCTTGTCTAACCTCTCTCTGTCTGTTTCTGCTTACCTCTCTGCTGTCTGCTTGTCTAACCTCTCTCTGTCTGCTTGTCTAACCTCTCTGCTGTCTGCTTGTCTAACCTCTCTCTGTCTGCTTGTCTTACCTCTCTGCTGTCTGCTTGTTTAACCTCTCTGCTGTCTGCTTGTCTAACCTCTCTGCTGTCTGCTTGTCTAACCTCTCTCTGTCTGCTTGTCTTACCTCTCTGCTGTCTGCTTGTCTAACCTCTCTCTGTCTGCTTGTCTAACCTCTCTCTGTCTGCTTGTCTAACCTCTCTGCTGTCTGCTTGTCTAACCTCTCTCTGTCTGCTTGTCTAACCTCTCAGCTGTCTGCTTGTCTAACCTCTCTCTGTCTGCTTGTTTTACCTCTTAGCTGTCTGCTTGTCTAACCTCTCAGCTGTCTGCTTGTCTGCTTGTCTAACCTCTCAGCTGTCTGCTTGTCTAACCTCTCTCTGTCTGCTTGTTTTACCTCTCTGCTGTCTGCTTGTCTTACCTCTCTGCTGTCTGCTTGTCTTACCTCTCTGCTGTCTGCTTGTCTTACCTCTCTCTGTCTGCTTGTCTTACCTCTTAGCTGTCTACTTGTCTTACCTCTTAGCTGTCTACTTGTCTTACCTCTCTGCTGTCTGCTTGTCTTACCTCTCTGCTGTCTGCTTGTCTAACCTCTCTGCTGTCTGCTTGTCTAACCTCTCTGCTGTCTGCTTGTCTTACCTCTCAGCTAAAAGGGGACGTTTAAAGGCATGGCAGAGCAGGAGCTTATATCAGAGTGTCAGCTGAGAGCTCAGCCTGTTGCACATAACCTTCACCCTTCACAGACAGACAGACAGACAAGACAGTACCAGGGTAACAGTGGAGTAGAGTGGAACATTTCACAGTCTCTGGTAAGACTGTTGCATCCGGAGGGGTGAGGAGGATTCGCAGCTTGAGTGCAGGTAGGATTCTTCACTTGCGTACTTCAGAATCACCATTATTCACCAAGTACATTTTAGTGAATGTGACGTGATACGGTGCTGCTAGTAATAGAGAACACACTCAGAATGTTACGTGCTGCTGGAGAGAGCAGTAGGAGAATGAGAAGTGGATTTAGAAATATACAGCGGATATACACATTTACAGTGTCAATATATAAATATCTATATGCAGAAAGATGTGCAGAGCAGTAGTTATGTGTGCAGTTCAGAGATGGCTTGATACAGTGTGCCCATTTCTAGTCACAGGGACGGGGACAGTTTCCCGTGACATCAGGGTGGTTTAAAGTTACATGATGTGACTTAGTGAAGTGTGAAGGGATATTGTTTTGACTGAGGTTTACAGTTGAAGTTAGCCACAAACCCTGTTGAGACAATTATAGGACGTGTTTGGCGTTTCGTCTCCTCTGATAATATGACTGCGTTGTTTTGATCATTTGAGCAGGAGTATACACATTGACTGACAACTTGTTGACATTTTAGTCATTTAGCAGACGCTCTTATCCAGAGCGACTTACAGTTAGTGAATACATATTTTTTTATACTGGCCCCCCGTGGGAATCGAACCCACAACCCTGGCGTTGCAAACGCCATGCTCTATCAACTGAGCTACATCCCTGCCGGCCATTCCCTCCCCTACCCTGGACGACGCTGGGCCAATTGTGCGCCGCCCATGAGTCTCCCGGTCGCGGCCGGCTGCGACAGAGCCTGGATTCGAACCAGGATCTCTAGTGGCACAGTTAGCACTGCGATGCAGTGCCTTAGTCCACTGCGCCACTCAGGAGTGACGCTAGCTGATGTCTGTCAATGCCCCGATATTGCTATCTTTAAGCTGGCACAACCTATCTGACTTAGTGAACCATTGCTATCTTTAAGCTGGCACAACCTATCTGACTTAGTGAACCATTGCTATCTCTAAACTGGCACAACCTATCTGACTGAACCGCTGCCGAAGAAAGATCAAGCGTCCAAACCTCACACTAGTCCAAGACAGGCGATCAGTCCACTGTCTTTTCTTGTGTGCAGTTTGTACACTTGTTTTTTGGATCTAGTAGTTCCTGTCAGCACCAGTACCTGGATTTAGTTGTTCCTGTCAGCACCAGTACCTGGATCTAGTAGTTCCTGTCAGCACCAGTACCTGGATCTAGTAGTTCCTGTCAGCACCAGTACCTGGATCTAGTTGTTCCTGTCAGCACCAGTACCTGGATATAGTAGTTCCTGTTGTTCACAGAGTTTCATCTTTTCTTTTTTGCAATGAGGAGAGACCGGGTGTACTTCCTGAGACAGGAGACAGACAACCTGTCTGTCTGTCTATATATCTGTCTGTCTGCTGTCTCCTCGGCATGTGAGACTGACTGGTCATTGTAAAAGGGTATTTTCTCCTCTTCCCCCAGAGTATAGGTTTCAGCAGCAGTAGTTTAGTTTTACTTCATTTGATTGTAACAGTTGCTATTCTTAGTTTAATTTAATACTTTAAGACTAAATTATTTTTTTATTTTTTTATGATAATATCATTCTAAAAAGCTAATATGACAAGACATACACTACCGGTCAGGTTTAGAACACCTACTCATTCAAGGGTTTTTCTTTTTTTTTCTACATTGTAGAATAATAGTGAAGACATCAACATTTAGAAATAACACATACGGAATCATGTAGTAACCAAAAAAGTGTTAAACAAATCAAAATATATTTTATATTTGAGATTCTTCAAATAGCCACCCTTTGCCTTGATGACAGCTTTACACACTATTGGCATTCTCTCAACCAGCTTCATGAGGTTGTCACCTGGAATGCATTTCAATTAACAGGTGTGCCTTCTTAAAAGTTAATTTGTGGAATTTCTTTCCTTCTTAATGCATTTGAGCCAATCAGTTGTGTTGTGACAAGGTAGAGGGGGTGGGGGTGGGTATATAGAAGATAGCCCTATTTGGTAAAATACCAAGTCCATATTATGGCAACAACAGCACAAATAAGCAAAGACAAACGACAGTCCATCATTACTTTAAGACATGAAGGTCAGTCAATACAGAACATTTCAAGAACTTTGAAATTTCTTCAAGTGCAGTCGCAAAAACCATCAAGCGCTATGATGAAACTGGCTCTCATGAGGACCACCACAGGAATGGAAGACCCAGAGTTACCTCTGCTGCAGAGGATAAGTTCATTAGAGTTACCAGCCTCAGAAATTGCAGCCCAAATAAATACTTCACAGAGTTCAAGTAACAGACACATCTCAACATCAACTGTTCAGAGGAGACTGTGTGAATCAGGCCTTCGTGGTCGAATTTATGCAAAGAAACCACTACTAAAGGACACCAATAAGAAGAAGAGACTTGATTGGGCCAAGAAACACGAGCAATGGACATTATACCGGTGGAAATTTGTCCTTTGGTCTGGAGTCCAAATTGGAGATTTCTGGTTCCAACCGCCGTGTCTTTGTGAGACGCGGTGTGGGTGAACGGATGATCTCTGCATGTGTATTTCCCACCATAAATCATGGAGGAGGTGGTGTTATGATGTGGGGGTGCTTTGCTGATGACACTGTCTGTGATTTATTTAGAATTCAAGGCACACTTAACCAGCATGGCTCCACAGCATTATGCAGTGATACGCCATCCCATCTGGTTTGGGCTTAGTGGGACTATCATTTGTTTTTCAACAGGACAATTACACAACACACCTCCAGGCTGTGTAAGGGCTATTTTACCAAGAAGGAGAATGATGGAGTGCTGCATCAGATGACCTGGCCTCCACAATCCCCCGACCTCAACCAAATTGAAATGGATTGGGATGAGTTGGACGGCAGAGTGAAGGAAAAGCAGCCAACAAGTGCTCAGCATATGTGGGAACTCCTTCAAGACTATTGGAAAAGCATTCCAGGTGAAGCTGGTTGAGAGAATGCCAAGAGTGTGCAAAGCTGTCATCAAGGCAAAGGGTGGCTATTTGAAGAATCTCAAAAAATTAAATATATTTTGAGTTCTTTAACACTTTTTGTGGTTACTACATGATTCCATATGTGTTATTTCATAGTTTTGATGTCTTCACTATTATTATACAATGTAGAAAATAGTAAAAATAAAGAAATCCATTAAATGAGTGGGTGATCTAAAACTTTTGACCGGTAGTGTAAATTGTCTCAAAAATATATTTACAACTGTGGTACATGCCCCATAAATTATTGGTTGACTTCCCTTGATGAAGGAAACTAGTGCAACTAAAGTAAGACGCTGGTGTGTTGCTGCCCTCAGTGTGTCATGTAGTTACAGAAATATAGGCTTACTCTCTCATGCTTGGGGAGGTTAGGGAGGTTAGGGAGGTTAGGGAGGTTGGGGGGGTTAGGCAGCTTAGGGAGGTTGGGGGGATTAGGCAGCTTAGGGAGGTTAGGGAGGTTGGAGGTTAGGGAGGTTAGGGAGGTTGGGGAGGTTAGGGAGGTTAGGGAGGTTGGGGAGGTTGGGGAGGTTAGGGAGGTTGGGGAGGTTAGGGAGGTTGGTGAGGTTAGGGAGGTAAAAAATCAAGAAAATCACATTGTAGGATTTTTAATGAATTTATTTGCAAATTATGGTGGAAAATAAGTATTTGGTCAATAACAAAAGTTTCTCAATACTTTGTTATATACACTTTGTTGGCAATGACACAGGTCAAACGTTTTCTGTAAGTCTTCACAAGGTTTTCACACACTGTTGCTGGTATTTTGGCCCATTCCTCCATGCAGATCTCCTCTAGAGCAGTGATGTTTTGGGGCTGTCGCTGGGCAACACAGACATTCAACTCCGTCCAAAGATTTTCTATGGGGTTGAGATCTGGAGACTGGCTAGGCCACTCCAGGACCTTGAAATGCTTCTTACGAAGCCACTCCTTCGTTGCCCGGGCGGTGTGTTTGGGATCATTGTCATGCTGAAAGACCCAGCCACGTTTCATCTTCAATGCCCTTGCTGATGGAAGGAGGTTTTCACTCCAAATATCACGATACATGGCCCCATTCATTCTTTCCTTTACACGGATCAGTCGTCCTGGTCCCTTTGCAGAAAAACAGCCCCAAAGCATGATGTTTCCACCCCCATACTTCACAGTAGGTATGGTGTTCTTTGGATGCAACTCAGCATTCTTTGTCCTCCAAACACGACGAGTTGAGTTTTTACCAAAAAGTTATATTTTGGTTTCATCTGACCATATGACATTCTCCCAATCCTCTTCTGGATCATCCAAATGCACTCTAGCAAACTTCAGACGGGCCTGGACATGTACTGGCTTAAGCAGGGGGACACGTCTGGCACTGCAGGATTTGAGTCCCTGGCGGCGTAGTGTGTTACTGATGGTAGGCTTTGTTACTTTGGTCCCAGCTCTCTGCAGGTCATTCACTAGGTCCCCCCGTGTGGTTCTGGGATTTTTGCTCACCGTTCTTGTGATCATTTTGACCCCACAGGGTGAGATCTTGCGTGGAGCCCCAGATCGAGGGAGATTATCAGTGGTCTTGTATGTCTTCCATTTCCTAATAATTGCTCCCACAGTTGATTTCTTCAAACCAAGCTGCTTACCTATTGCAGATTCAGTCTTCCCAGCCTGGTGCAGGTCTACAATTTTGTTTCTGGTGTCCTTTGACAGCTCTTTGGTCTTGGCCATAGTGGAGTTTGGAGTGTGACTGTTTGAGGTTGTGGACAGGTGTCTTTTATACTGATAACAAGTTCAAACAGGTGCCATTAATACAGGTAACGAGTGGAGGACAGAGGAGCCTCTTAAAGAAGAAGTTACAGGTCTGTGAGAGCCAGAAATCTTGCTTGTTTGTAGGTGACCAAATACTTATTTTCCACTATAATTTGCAAATAAATTCATAAAAAATCCTACAATGTGATTTTCTGGAATTTTTTTTCTCAATTTGTCTGTCATAGTTGACGTGTACCTATGATGAAAATTACAGGCCTCCCTCATCTTTTTAAGTGGGAGAACTTGCACAATTGGTGGCTGACTAAATACTTTTTTTCCCCCCACTGTATAAATAATTATATTTATGATATAAAGTTGCCCGTGAAACAGACTACGTTACAATCCCTGATTGTCTCTCTGGTCAGAAACCCTCGCCCTGAGCTCGTCAACTTTATTATCCAGAGACTGAACATTAGCGAGTAATATACTTACATTTACGTCATTTAGCAGACGCTCTTATCCAGAGCGACTTACAAATACTTGGAAGCGGTGGGTGGTGTGCACGCTTCCTAAGACCATGTTTATACGCTACTTTATTGACTCAAAGGTTTTTTTGGGGACATTGTTTGCAAACTGACATGTGACACGTATTTATGCCAAAATAAAACAGGCATGTTATTTTTTTTTAGCTTAACAGGTGGGACTAAAGAAAAAACACCTGCCCTGAATGACAGGTCGTCGCAACTGGTGATCATAGCCTATAAATCTGTTCCGTGGCTGTAGTCTCTGTAATCCCAGACCTAGGACAATATTGTTGTTTTATGTGGGAGGCAGCCTGTCTTCCTAGGGAGACCAGCTGCAGAAGTGAACAAAAAATATAAGTGCAACGTGTAAAGTGTTGGTCCTGTGTTTCTTGAGCTGAAATAAAAGATCCCCGAAATGTTCCATAAAGCACGAAAAGCTTATTTTTCTCAAATTTTGTGCACAATTTTCGTTTACATCCCTGTTAGTGAGCATTTCTCCTTTGCCAATATAATCCATCCACCTGACAGGTGTGGCATATCAAGAAGCTGATTAAACAGCGTGATCATTACACAGGTGCACCTTGTGCTGGGGACAATACAAATGTGCAGTTTTGTCACACAACACAATGCCACAGATGTCTACAGTTTTGAGGTAGTGTGCAATTGGCATGCTGACTGCAGGAATGTCCACCAGAGCTGTTGCCAGAGAATTGAATGTTAATTTCTCTACCATAAGCCGCCTCCAACGTTGTTTTAGAGAATTTGGCAGTACGTCCAATTGGCATCACAACCGCAGACCACGTGTATGGCGTCGAGTGGGCGATGTCAACGTTGTGAACAGAGTGCTCCATGGTGGCGGTGGGGTTATGGTATGGGCAGGCATAAGCTACGGACAACGAACACAATTGCATTTTATCGATGGCAGTTCAATGCACAGAGATACCGTGACGAGATCCTGAGGCCCATTGTCGTGCCATTCATCTGCCGCCATCACCTCATGCTTCAGCATGATAATGCACGGCCCCAGGTAGAAAGGATCTGTACACAATTCCTGGAATCTGAAAGTGTCCCAGTTCTCCCATGGCCTGCATACTCACCAGACAAGTCACCCATTGAGCATGTTTGGGATGCTCTGGATTGACGTGTACGACAGCGTGTTCCAGTTCCCACCAAAGTCCAGCAACTTCACACAGCCATTGAAGAGGAGTGGGACAACCTTCCACAGGCCACAATCAACAGCCTGATCAACTCTATGCGAAGGAGATGTGTCGCGCTGCATGAGGCAAATGGTGGTCACACCAGATACTGACTGGTTTTCTGATCCACGCCCCTATGTTTTTTTTTAAAAGGTATCTGGGCCTAATGAATTTATTTCAATTGACTGATTTCCTTATATGAACTGTAACTCAGGAATAATCTTTGAAATTGTTGCATGTTGAGTTTATATTTTTGTTCAGTATAAATTATATTTACCAAAATACCAAATAATAGATATGAAATAGACCAATCGTAAAAGTAAAAGTAATACTTGTACATGTTCACTTGTTTTCAGGATGGAGGCATATGATGAGAAAACAAACACAAGTGGGATGATTTGTCTGAAATATCTACTATTGACCTTTAACCTTCTCTTCTGGGTGAGTCTGCCTGTCTGTCTGTCTATCTACTATTGACCTTTAACCTTCTCTTCTGGGTGAGTCTGCCTGCCTGTCTATCTACAATGCCTGCCTGTCTGCCTGTCTGTCTGCCTGTCTGCCTATCTGTCTGTCTGTCTGTCTGTCTGTCTGTCTGTCTGTCTGTCTGTCTGTCTGTCTGTCTGTCTGTCTGTCTGTCTGTCTGTCTGTCTGTCTGTCTGTCTGTCTGTCTGTCTGTCTGTCTGTCTGTCTGCCTGCCTGCCTGCCTGCCTGCCTGCCTGCCTGCCTGCCTGCCTGCCTGCCTGTCTGTCTGTCTGTCTGTCTGTCTGTCTGTCTGTCTGTCTGTCTGTCTGTCTGTCTGTCTGTCTGTCTGTCTGTCTGTCTGTCTGTCTGTCTGCCTGTCTGTCTGTCTGTCTGTCTGTCTGTCTGTCTGTCTGTCTGTCTGTCTGTCTGTCTGTCTGTCTGTCTGTCTGTCTGTCTGCCTGTCTGTCTGTCTGTCTGTCTGCCTGTCTGTCTGTCTGCCTGCCTGTCTGCCTGCCTGTCTCTCTACATGGCAGAACGACATCTTCTTGGGCAGATGGAAGCTTAACTTGTCCTATATGTTGTAACAAAGCAGTAGATTCTATAGGTAGGCTTAACTCTTTGCATGTATGTACACTAAATTAACCTGAAACAATATCAACTGTTAAATCATCTCTAACCCATCAGTGACTGATAGGCTCCTACTACAGGTCTATATTTGACAAGTGCTAGGAATCTACTAGTTATCTGGTATTGAAAATTGTCTGTGTTCTGAATTGAAATAATTTAATTTAATGGAATTTATTTTAAAAAGGGAAATTGATTTGAAAGGGAATTGTATTGACTAGTTTTGATTTCACCTGATATCTGTGCTGTGCTGTATCAGTTGGCAGGTGGAGTGGTGATGGCAGTGGGGGTGTGGACCCTGGTGGAGAAGAGCGACTACATCAGCCTCCTCAGCTCCAGCTACTATTCTGCCTCTGCCTACATTCTGATAGCTGCCGGGGCTATCGTTGTCTTCACTGGGATCATAGGCTGCTGCGCCACCCTGAAAGAGAAGAGGAGTCTGCTAATAGTGGTGAGAGGATCCTACATTCAACCAATCAATCAATCAATCAATCAATCAATCAATCAATCAATCAATCAATTCATTTACAAAGCCCTTTTCAAATCAGCAGTTATGACACAGAAATTAACACATGAATCAATCAAATGTAATGGTGCTCATCCACGTTGATACTTTCACTGCCTTTATAAACAGTACATATACTCTACATGACATTGGCACAGCTTCTTCTACACTCTCAGAAAATGCACACAAGGCACCTGAGGTATTACTTTCAGATCAAAAAATGACTTCATATAAACATTATAATCTGTTCACATATAAACTCCTGTCAATTAAACATCTGTCATTTTTCAGAGGCAGAAGAAAAGGAAGAAAAAAAAAACGTATCACGGTGATATAAATAATAACGGATTTCAGCGTTTATATGCACACATAAAACCTAGCCTTGTTTTTGTTTACAGCGAAATATTATTATTATTATTATTACAAGTTTAGCTACTTGTTAATCTGTGTTGTTCTGACGGCCTTTAGATGTTATCTGTCCTGTCCAGCAGCGTGTGTATAAACCATAGAGATAGATAGACAACTCATCTTTGTATCTGCGCCATTGTGGAGTCTGTGACAGCACGGGCATTTTAAAAGTATTCAATTTTCTTCTTCTTTTGTGTTTGAAAAAAAAAGCGTAAAGCTACTATTCTTGATTTACCGCCACATGCAGTGCTGAAGTCCTGAACCAAATCTTGTGTGTCATTCATGTATTGTGGCCACTAGATGGCAGTGATATAACTTAAAGCCATTTACTAACCATAGCAACCCAATTTAAAGAAGACAATGTTCTGATTGTTGGCTGATTGCTCCTAAACCGTAGTAATCCCCACCCGGTTGACTACTTTAAAATGGTGGAAGCCCTCAACGGAAATGTTCATGCTAAAACGGGTTATATAGTCCTCTCTCTAGCTCTGAGACATAAACAGAACCAGACGAAAATACGCTGTCAGAAATACACTGTGGTGTCATAAATATCAAGCATAATACTGCTGTGTGTATCTTTAAGAGTTTAGATATGGAGCATGAGTCACGAGAGTGGAATGAGGGGCATCACAGGCATGGTGGAGACAGAGGAGAGACGAGGAGAAAGGGGGGGAGAGAGGGGGGAGAGAGGGAGAGGAGAGAGGCGAGAGGAGAGCGAGGGGCGGAGAGGGGGGGGGGAGAGGAGGGGAGGGAAGGGGAGCGTGGTCGATGAGCCTTTTCGCCTCTTTGTGGCCCTGTTTAGAGGTCTAAGCTTTTTTTGTCAATGTCCCTCTGTTTCCCGTGCCAAGAATAGAAGCACATTGAGAAGAGAAGAGAGAGAGAGAGAGAGATCTCTCTGCGGAAGTGCTGCGCTGAAGCGCGACTATCGCTCGCTCGCTCTTCCTCGATCGAGTCTCCTCGTCTCTCTCTATGTCGCTCCCCCCCTTCGCCTCTCTCTCTCCCCCTCTCGCGCAGAGAGAGGGGCTTTGCATTGATTTGCAATGTAAACATTGAGAACCAGCCAGCCAGCCCCAGGACAGCAACACAATTTGACCCAACCAAATAATGAGAAAACAAAAAGAGAATTACTTGACACATTGGAAAGAATTAACAAAAACACTGAGAAAACTAGAATGCTATTTGGCCCTAAACAGACAGTACACAGTTGCAGAATTCACAAAGTCGCTCACTGTATGACCTTATTACACACAGATATTGGCACGTTAAGTTGTTTTCAACCTCAGCTCACTATGGTCTGTTTTACATTATGAGGGAATGTATTTTTATTCTCCCATCACAGTATTTCATCTCTGTGTATGTCAGGCACCAGATTTAGCTGTAGTCCCTCTCTTCACTGTATTTCATGCTGTTATTCTCTCTCTCTCTCTCTCTCTCTCTCTCTCTCTCTCTCTCTCTCTCTCTCTCTCTCTCTCTCTATCTCTGATCTCTTTCTCTGTCTCTCAATTCAATTTCAATTTCAATGTAAGGGCTTTATTGGCATGGGAAACGTATGTTAACATCGCCAAAGCAAGTGAAGTAGATAGTAAACAAAAGTGAAATAAACAATAAATATTAACAGTAAACATTACACTCAGAAATTCCAAAAGAATAAAGACATTTCAAATGTCATATTATGTATATATACAGTGTTGTAACAATGTGCAAATAGTTAAAGTATAAATGGGAAAATAAATAAACATAAATATGGGTTGTATTTACAATGGTGTTTGTTCTTCACTGGTTGCCCTTTTCTTGTGGCAACAGGTCACAAATCTTGCAGCTGTGATGGCACACTGTGGTATTTCACCCAGTAGATTAGGGAGTTTATCAAAATTGGGTTTGTTTTCTAATTCTTTGTGGATCGCTGTAATCTGAGGGAAATATGTGTCTCTAATATGGTCATACATTTGGCAGGAGGTTAGGAAGTGCAGCTCAGTTTCCACCTCATTTTGTGGGCAATGTGCACATAGCCTGTCTTCTCTTGAGAGCCAGGTCTGCCTACGGTGGCCTTTCTCAATAGCAAGGCTATGCTTACTGAGTCTGTACATAGTCAAAGATTTCCTTAATCTTGGGTCAGTCACAGTGGTCAGGTATTCTGCCACTGTGTACTCTCTGTTTAGGGTCAAATAGCATTCTAGTTTGCTCTGTTTTTTTTGTAAATTCTTTCCAATATGTCAAGTAATTATCTTTTGTTTTCTCATGATTTGGTTGTGTCTAATTGTGTTGCTGTCCTGGGGCTCTGTGGGGTCTGTTTGTGTCTCCAGGTTCATCTCTCTGTAGGTGATGGCTTTGTTATGGAAGGTTTGGGAATCGCTTCCTTTTAAGGGGTTATAGAATTTAATGGCTCTTTTCTGGACTTTGAAAATTAGCGGGTATCTGCCTAATTCTGCTCTGCATGCATTATTTGGTGTTTTACGTTGTACACTGAGGTTGTTTTTGCAGAATTCTGCATGCAGAGTCTCAATTTGGTGTTTGTCCCATTTTGTGAATTCTTTGTTGGTGAGCGGACCCCAGACCTCAGAACCATAAAGGGCAATGGGTTCTATAACTGATTCAAGTATTTTTAGCCAGATCCTAATTGGTATGTCAAATTTTATGTTCCTTTTGATGGCATAGAAGGCCCTTCTTGCCTTGTCTCTCAGATCGTTCACAGCTTTGTGGAAGTTACCTGTGGCGCTGATGTTTAGGCCGAGGTATGTATAGTTTTTTGTGGGCTCTAGGGCAACGGTGTCTAGATGGAATTTGTATTTGTGGTCCTGGCAACTGGACCTTTTTTGGAACACCATTATTTTTGTCTTACTGAGATTTACTGTCAGGGCCCAGGTCTGACAGAATCTGTGCAGAAGATCTAGGTGCTGCTGTAGGCCCTCCTTGGTTGGGGTCAGAAGCACCAGATCATCAGCAAACAGAAGACATTTGACTTCAGATTCTAGTAGGGTGAGGCCGGGTGCTGCAGACTGTTCTAGTGCCCTCGCCAATTCGTTGATATATATGTTGAAGAGGGTGGGGCTTAAACTGCATCCCTGTCTCACCCCACGGCCCTGTGGAAAGAAATGTGTGTGTTTTTTGCCAATTTTAACCGCACACTTGTTGTTTGTGTACATGGATTTTATAATGTCGTATGTTTTTCCCCCAACCCCACTTTCCATCAATTTGTATAGCAGACCCTCATGCCAAATTGAGTCAAAAGCTTTTTTGAAATCAACAAAGCATGAGAAGACTTTTCCTTTGTTTTGGTTTGTTTGTCAATTAGGGTGTGCAGGGTGAATACGTGGTCTGTCGTACGGTAATTTGGTAAAAAGCCAATTTGAAATTTGCTCAGTACATTGTTTTCACTGAGGAAATGAACTAGTCTGCTGTTAATGATAATGCAGAGGATTTTCCCAAGGTTGCTGTTGACGCATATCCCACGGTAGTTATTGGGGTCAAATTTGTCTCCACTTTTGTGGATTGGGGTGATCAGTCCTTGGTTCCAAATATTGGGGAAGATGCCAGAGCTAAGGATGATGTTAAAGAGTTTAAGTATAGCTAATTGAAATTTGTGGTCTGTATATTTTATCATTTTATTGAGGATACCATCAACACCACAGGACTTTTTGGGTTGGAGGGTTTGTATTTTGTCCTGTAGTTCATTCAATGTAATTGGAGAATCCAGTGGGTTCTGGTAGTCTTTAATAGTTGATTCTAAGATTTGCATTTGATCATGTATATTTTTTTGCTGTTTGTTCTCTGTTATAGGGCCAAAAAGATTGGAGAAGTGGTTTACCCATACATCTCCGTTTTGGATAGATAGCTCTTCATGTTGTTGTTTATTAAGTGTTTTCCAATTTTCCCAGGAGTGGTTAGAGTCTATGGATTCTTCAATTACATTGAGCTGATTTCTGACATGCTGTTCCTTCTTTTTCCGTAATATATTTCTGTATTGTTTTAGTGATTCTCTCTCTCTCTCTCTGTTCTCTCTCTCTCTCTGTTGCTCTCTCTCTCTGTTACTCTATCTCTGCCCTCTCTGTTCTCTCTCTCTGTTCTCACTCCCACCATAGTATTTCATTATGTTACTCTCTCTCTCTCTCTCTCTCTCTCTCTCCTCTCCCACCTTAGTATTTCATTATGTTTCTCTCTCTCTCTCTGTTACTCTATCTCTGCCCTCTCTCTCTCTCTCTCTCTCTCTCTGTTCTCACTCCCACCATAGTATTTCATTATGTTACTCTCTCTCTCTCTCTCTCTCTCTCTCTCTCTCTCTCTCTCTCTCTCTCTCTCTCTCTCTCTCTCTTCTCTCCCACCTTAGGATTTCATTATGTTTCTCTCTCTCTCGCTCTGTTCTCTCCCACCTTAGTATTTCATTACTCTCTCTCTCTCTCTCTCTCTCTCTCTCTCTCTCTCTCTCTCTCTCTCTATCTCTCTCTCTCTCTCTCTCTCTCTCTCTCTCTCTCAATTCAATTCAATTTCAATGTAAGGGCTTTATTGGCATGGGAAACGTATGTTAACATTGCCAAAGCAAGTGAAGTAGATAGTAAACAAAAGTGAAATAAACAATAAATATTAACAGTAAACATTACACACAGAAGTTTCAAAAGAATAAAGACATTTCAAATGTCATATTATGTATAAATACAGTGTTGTAACAATGTCTCTCTCTCTCTCTCTCTCTGTTCTCTCCCACCATAGTATTTCATTATGTTACTCTCTCTCTCTGTTCTCTCCCATAGTATTTAATCCTGCTACTCCTCATCTTCTTGCTGGAGATTGTATCTGGAGTTCTGGCCTATATCCACTACCAGGAGGTAAGTCTATACCAGCGTTTCCCAAACTTGGTCCTGGGGACCCCAAGGGGTGCACATTTAGTTTTTTTTGCACTAGTGCTACACAGTTGATTCATGTAATGAACTCATCATCAAGCTTCGATTATTTGAATCAGCTGTGTAGCGCTAGACAAAAACAATAATGTGCACCCCTTTGGGGAACCCTGAGTTTGAGGAACGCTCTCTTATACAATATTACAAGACCTGACTTCAAATACTATTTGAAATCATTCCAAATAGTTTATCTGTGCTTGATTGAACTTGCCTGTCCTAATGGAACCAATAGAAAAGTGCAAATCCTACCGCCTGGCACTCCGTGCAGGCTAAAGCATACGCTCAAAGTATCCAAAAGATTTCAAATAGTATTTGAACCCAGGTCTGCACATTACTAACACTGTACTAGTTACGCATAGCTGCTGCAACCCAGTCTGCATCCCAAATGGCACCCTATTCCTTATATAGTGCACTACTTTTGACCAGAGCCCTGTGGGTAAGTGATCAAAAGTAGTGCACTATATAGGGAATAGGGTGCTATTTGGGATGCAGACTGGGTCTGGCCTTTATCCATTGGCAGGAGGTAAGGTCTTAAAAAACCATGTTCTCCTCAGACAGGCGGGTATCATCAGTATAACCTGACCTCTTCTTACCAGACCTGGGATCAAATGCTATTTTTAAAATCGTTTAAATATTTTGAGCGTTTGCTTTAGCCTGCCTGGAGTGCAAGGTGGGTAAGGGTGTACCGTTTTGGGACTTTTCTATCAGTTCGATTGTGAAAGTTAAGCTCAATCAAGCACAGAGGCAGTGTTTGAAATGACTTCCAGTAGTGTTTGAAAATGCAGGTCTGCCTCTTGCCAGTTGGTAACACCAGACTCACCACTCCACCTGTAACGTATACGCAGGGAGTCAGGAAGCAGGTGCAGAAGGTGAGTTTAATAATAATAATCATGAAGATAGTTCAAAACAGGAGCAGCGTACTGAACGTAACCAAAACCAATACTGCCTGAAGACTGAGGCTACTGAGGGCTATATGACGGGAGAGTAACCAGGGTGGTGATGAAGTCCAGGTGTGTGGAAAGATGGGGAGCAGGTGTGCACAATGATGGTTGCCAGGTGTGTGCGATGTGGGTTGCCAGGTGTGTGCGATGTGGGTTACCAGGTGTGTGCGATGTGGGTTGCCAGGTTTGTGCAATGTGGGTTGCCAGGTGTGTGCGATGTGGGTTGCCAGGTGTGTGCAATGTGGGTTGCCAGGACCGGTGGTTAGAAGACCGGAGATGTCAAGCGCCGGAGGGAGGAAGCAGACCATGATACTAGATGTTTGGTTTCCTTCTAGGGCAACAGTTTAGTCAAGGTTTATACCGTAACATTTTAAAACTATCACCATTCAACAAGTAGGCTACCGTGACTTGTTACAGTTGATTCCTGAAATACACACGGCATTGTTTATAGGTATATCAAGATTATATGACTATGGCAAGAAGGACTATTTGAAGCTGTAGCATGATTAATCATAGTTATTTCATGTAGGATATAGTTCCATCCATGTGGATAATTTAGTATCAGACTAGTAAACAACTGCATTCTGAGCTAATTCAGTCATTAACACTTATTGACAAACCACTGTAGTGTATGACCCAAAACTTGCTTGTATGACCTAAAACGTTCTTGTATTATCAAAAACTTTCTTGTATTAACTAAAACTTTCTTGTATTATCTAAAACTTTTCTTGTAGTATCTAAAACGTTCTTATAATAACTAGTGCATGAAATAATAACTCCTGAATAACACGTCATCTTCCTGCACGTCTTTTTTCCCATAATCCTTTCATATTGCTATTTTTTCTTCTTCCTTCTCTCTAGTGTTTCCCTTTCTGCCAGCAGGTAATCATCCTCCTGTTTTCTTTCCACCTTTCTATCAAACTCTGTTTCTCTGATCTCACTGTTCAAAATATTATTCTCTGTTATTTCTGAGCCAGTCACATCTCTTTTACTGCTCTATGAACAATAAAGATACATCTGGGCCTTGTTCGAATACCAGGGTTGGGGTCAATTCTAATTAATGAACGTTCTATTCAGGGCCGGCTCCAGCATTTTGGGGGCCCTAAGCGAGATTTTGTTGGAGGGCCCCCCCCCACCTCGCTGCAAAACACATTAGTGGCCCCCCTTTTGACGGCGGGGCCACTAACGTTAATTTCCTGCAATTCTACACATTTTGGCATGGGGCGAAGATAACATTTTACGTTTAGTTAAAGTTATTCAATTCAGGAAGTGATTTGAATTTAAAAATGTAAAAAAAAAATAACTTTTAAAATAAAAAGCTTCTCGTTTTCAGTTTATTGAGAAATAATTTAAAATAAATGATATTTGTTTTATTACTGAATTCGATTGTAATTGACCCCAACCCTGTTGAACCCTGTCCTTCCTCCTATACAGTAATCACTAACTTGACGTGACTGGATTAGTGTTAGTTCCCACTGCATCACCTTTCGTAGACGGTCATAGCTCCTGTGTCTGTCTCTCCACAGCTGGATAAGGAGCTGCAGCACAACCTGAAGGAGACCATGGTTCAGAAATACCAGCAGCCTGGAGAGGAGAGCGTCACCAGTGCAGTGGACAAGCTGCAGCAGGAGGTAGGATGACAGTGGACAAGCTGCAGCAGGAGGTAGGATGACAGTGGACAAGCTGCAGCAGGAGGTAGGATGACAGTGGACAAGCTGCAGCAGGAGGTAGGATGACGTTCCATACAGAAGCTACAGAAATGCTGTTCCAGCCACCCATGTGTCATTCAGATAGAAGTCATGGTTTAGTCTAACTCGGTTTGGAGAGAATATGGTAACGAATCTGACATTGATAAGACGGATAACTTCTCCCCCCGAGGGAGCGTGGGTTACTGGTGCGTCACATTAAATACATCACATTGAATACATCACATTATATACATCACATTGAATACATCACATTAAATACATCACATTATATACATCACATTATATGCATCACATTATTTGCATCACATTATATGCATCACATTATATACATCACATTATATACATTACATTAAATACATCACATTATATACATCACATTATATGCATCATATTAAATACATCACATTAAATACATCACATTATATACATCACATTAAATACATCACATTAAATACATCACATTAAATACATCACATTAAATACATCACATTTTATACATCACATTAAATACATCACATTAAATACATCACATTATGTACATCACATTAAGTCTCTCTCCTCTCTCTCTCTCTCTCCTCTCCTCTCTCTCTCTCTCTCTCTCTCTCTCTCTCGCTCTCTCTCTCTCTCTCTCTCTCTCTCTCTCTTCTCTCTCTCTCTCTGTCTGTCTCTTTATTTCAGGGCTTTATTGCCATGGGAAACATATGTTAACATTGCCAAAGCAAGTGAAATAGATAAACAAAAGTGAAATAAACAATAAATATTAACAGTAAACATTACACTCACAAAAGTTCCAAAAGAATAAAGACATTTCAAATGTCATATTATGTATATATACAGTGTTGTAACAACGTGCAAATAGTTAAAGTACAAATGGGAAAATAAATAAACATAAATATGGGTTGTATTTACAATGGTGTTTGTTCTTCACTGGTTGCCCTTTTCTTGTGGCAACAGGTCACAAATCTTGCTGCTGTGATGGCACACTGTGGTATTTCATCTATTAGATATGGGAGTTTATCAAAATTGGATTTGTTTTCGAATTCTTTGTGGGTCTGTGTAATCTGAGGGAAATATGTGTCTCTAATATGGTCATATATTTGGCAGGAGGTTAGGAAGTGCAGCTCAGTTTCCACCTCATTTTGTGGGCAGTGGGCACATAGCCTGTCTTCTCTTGAGAGCCAGGTCTGCCTACGGCGGCCTTTATCAATAGCAAGGCTATGCTCACTGAGTCTGTACATAGTCAAAGCTTTCCTTAAGTTTGGGTCAGTCACAGTGGTCAGGTATTCTGCCACTGTGTACTCTCTGTTTAGGGCCAAATAGCATTCTAGTTTGCTCTGTTTTTTGTTTGTTCTTTCCAATGTGTCAAGTAATTCTCTTTTTGTTTTCTCATGATTTGGTTGGGTCTAATTGTGTTGTTGTCCTGGGGCTCTGTGGGGTCTGTTTGTGTTTGTGAACAGAGCCCCAGGACCAGCTTGCTTAGGGGACTCTTCTCCAGGTTCATCTCTCTGTAGGTGATGGCTTTGTGATGGAAGGTTTGGGAATCGCTTCCTTTTAGGTGGTTGTAGAATTTAATGGCTCTTTTCTGGATTTTGATAATTAGCGGGTATCGGCTCTGCATGCATTATTTTTGTGTTTTACGTTGTACACTGAGGATATTTTTGCAGAATTCTGCATGTAGAGTTTCAATTTGGTGTTTGTCCCATTTTGTGAATTCTTTGTTGGTGAGCGGATCCCAGACCTCACAACCATAAAGAGCAATGGGTTCTGTAATTATAAGTATTTTTAGCCAGATCCGAATTGGTATGTCGAATTGTATGTTCCTTTTGATGGCATAGAAGGCCCTTCTTGCCTTGTCTCTCAGATCGTTCATAGCTTTGTGGAAGTTACCTGTGGCGCTGATGTTTAGGCCGAGGTATGTATAGTTTTTTGTGTGCTCTAGGGCAACGGTGTCTAGATGGAATTTAATATTTGTGGTCCTGGCAGCTGGACCTTTTTTGGAACACCATTATTTTTGTCTTACTGAGATTTACTGTCAGGGTCCAGGTCTGACAGAATCTTTGCAGAAGATCTAGGTGCTGCTGTGGGCCCTCCTTGGTTGGGTTCAGAAGCACCAGATCATCAGCAAACAGTAGACATTTGACTTCAGATTCTAGTAGGGTGAGGCCGGGTGCTGCAGACTGTTCTAGTGCCCTCGCCAATTCATTGATTTATATGTTGAAGAGGGTGGGGTTTAAGCTGCATCCCTGTCTCACCCCACGGCCCTGTGGAAATAAATCTGTGTGTTTTCTGCCAATTTTAATCGCACACTTGTTGTTTGTGTACATGGATTTTATAATCTCGTATGTTTTTCCCCCAAAATCACTTTCCATCAATTTGTATAGCAGAACCTCATGCCAAATTTTGTCAAAAGCATTTTTGAAATCAACAAAGCATGAGAAGACTTTGCCTTTGTTTTGTTTTGTTTGTTTGTCAATTAGGGTGTGCAGGGTGAATACGTGGTCTGTCGTACGGTAATTTGGTAAAAAGCCAATTTGACATTTGCTCAGTACATTGTTTTCACTGAGGAAATGTACGAGTCTGCTGTTAATGATAATGCAGAGGATTTTCCCAAGGTTGCTGTTGACGCATATCCCACGGTAGTTATTGGGGTCAAATTTGTCTCCACTTTTGTGGATTGGGGTGATCAGTCCTTGGTTCCAAATATCTCTGTTCTCTCTCTCAGTTTAAGTGTTGTGGCAGTAACAGCTCATCAGACTGGTCCGACAGCGTGTGGATCCTGACACCTGGCAATGACAGACTGGTCCCAGACAGCTGCTGCAAGACACCCAGTAACCTCTGTGGCCAGAGAGACCACCCTTCTAATATCTACAAGGTGGAGGTGAGTATGGCCACACACACACACACACACACACACACACACACACACACACACACACACACACACACAGACACACACAGACACACACACACACACACACACAGACACATACACACACACACACACACAGACACACACACACACACACACACACACACACACACCAGACAATAAACAATATCTACAAGGTAATATGTCTTCCATCTCGTCGTCTCTCTTTAGGGAGGGTGCATCACTAAGTTGGAGGAGTTCATTCTGAGCCAGCTGCAGATCCTTGCAGCAGTGGGGATCGGGATCGCCTTCCTCCAGGTAGCACCCAAACTTACCATACATTAATGTAGACTTGGGGAAACTTACCATACATTAATGTAGACTTGGGGTAACTTACCATACATTAATGTAGACTTGGGGTAACTTAGGAACATTAATGTAGACTTGGGGTAACTTAGTAACATTAATGTAGACTTGGGGTAACTTAGTAACATTAATGTAGACTTGGGGTAACTTACCATACATTAATGTAGACTTGGGGTAACTTAGTAACATTAATGTAGACTTGGGGTAACTTAGTAACATTAATGTAGACTTGGGGTAACTTAGTAACATTAATGTAGACTTGGGGTAACTTAGTAACATTAATGTAGACTTGGGGTAACTTAGTAACATTAATGTAGACCTGGGGTAACTTAGTAACATTAATGTAGACTTGGGGTAACTTAGTAACATTAATGTAGACTTGGGGTAACTTAGTAACATTAATGTAGACTTGGGGTAACTTAGTAACATTAATGTAGACTTGGGGTGACTTAGTAACATTAATGTAGACTTGGGGTAACTTAGTAACATTACTGTAGACTTGGGGTAACTTAGTAACATTAATGTAGACTTGGGGTAACTTAGTAACATTAATGTAGACTTGGGGTAACTTAGTAACATTAATGTAGACTTGGGGTAACTTACCATACATTAATGTAGACTTGGGGTAACTTAGTAACATTAATGTAGACTTGGGGTAACTTAGTAACATTAATGTAGACTTGGGGTAACTTACCATACATTAATGTAGACTTGGGGTAACTTAGTAACATTAATGTAGACTTGGGGTAACTTAGTAACATTAATGTAGACCTGGGGTAACTTAGTAACATTAATGTAGACTTGGGGTAACTTAGTAACATTAATGTAGACTTGGGGTAACTTAGTAACATTAATGTAGACTTGGGGTAACTTACCATACATTAATGTAGACTTGGGTTAACTTAGTAACATTAATGTAGACTTGGGGTAACTTAGTAACATTAATGTAGACTTGGGGTAACTTAGTAAAATTAATGTAGACTTGGGGTAACTTAGTAACATTAATGTAGACTTGGGGTAACTTAGTAACATTAATGTAGACTTGGGGTAACTTAGTAACATTAATGTAGACTTGGGGTAACTTAGTAACTTTAATATAGACTTTCTCTCAGCTCATAGGGGTGATTCTTGTTTGCTGCCTATATCGAAGTCTGAAGGAGGAGTCGTACTGAGCATCGCTGATGTCACAACAACAACAGCAAGAAGAAAACAACAACAACAACAACAACAACAACAATATATTTCCTAGTATTTAGATATGCTTTCTCTATGTCTTGGACGCTACGTACGTCTCATGTAGATATGTTTTGTGTTGTAGTCATTTTTTTCAAAGACAAAATGAACCCATGTTGAAGTTTTGGTAAGGCAGGCAACAGGCAGGAAGGAAGGCAGACAGACAAGCAGACAGACAGACAGACAGACAGACAGACAGACAGACAGACAGACAGACAGACAGACAGACAGACAGACAGACAGACAGACAGACAGACAGACAGACAGACAGACAGACAGACAGACAGACAGACAGACAGACAGACAGACAGACAGACAGACAGACAGACAGACAGACAGGCAGGCAGCAGACAGACAGGCAGCAGGCAGAAAGGCAGAAAGGCCAGCAGGCTGTGGGCCAGCCAGTGTTATAGAGTTGGATAGCGTCTACCCTGTATTATTGTAATAGTTTCCATTCCATGTTTTATTTTCTCTTCCGGCCATAACATGATGCATCCACCACCATGCATGAACATATGGAGAGTGATGCATCCACCACCATGCATGAACATATGGAGAGTGATGCATCCACCACCATGCATGAACATATGGAGAGTGATGCATCCACCACCATGCATGAACATATGGAGAGTGATGCATCCACCACCATGCATGAACATATGGAGAGTGATGCATCCACCACCATGCATGAACATATGGAGAGTGATGCATCCACCACCATGCATGAACATATGGAGAGTGATGCATCCACCACCATGCATGAACATATGGAGAGTGATGCATCCACCACCATGCATGAACATATGGAGAGTGATGCATCCACCACCATGCATGAACATATGGAGAGTGTTACTCAGTAATGTGTTGTATTGGATTTGCCCCAAACATAACACTTTGTATTCAGGACAAAAATGTCATTGCTTTGCCACGTTGTTTTTGCAGTATTACTTTAGTGCCTTGTTGCAAACAGGATGCATATTTTGGGGATATTTGTTTTTTGGCTTCCTTCTTTACACTCTGTCAATTAGGTTAGTATTGTGGACAAACTACAATGTCGTTGATCCATCCTCACTTTTCTCCGATCACAGCCATTAAACTCTGTAACTGTTTTAAACGTCATCATTGGCCTCATGGTGAAATCCCTGAGCAGTTTCCTTCCTCTCAGGCAACTAAGTTAGGAAGGACACCTGTATCTTTGTAGTGACTGGGTGTATTGATACACCATCCAAAGTGTAATTAATAACTTCACCATGCTCAAAGGGATATTCAATGTCTGCTTTTATTATTTTTAGCCTTCTACCAATAGGTGCCCTTCTTTGCGAGGCGTTGGAAAACCTCCCTGGTCTTTGTAGTTTAATCTGTGTTTGAAATGTACTGCTCAACAGGGAACTTACAGATGATTGTATGTGTGGGGTACAGAGATGATGTAGTCATTCAAAAATAATGTTAAACACTATTATTCCACACAGAATGAGTCCATGCAACTTATTATGTGACTTGTTAAGCACATTTTTACTCCTGGACTTATTTAGGCTTGCCATAACGAAGTGGTTGAATACTTATTGACTTATTTATGCTTTTCATGTTTTATTAATTTGTAGGAATTTTGAATAACATAATTCCACTTTGACGTTATGGGGTATTGTGTGTAGGCCAGTGAGAAAAATCGCAATTTAATCCATTTTAAATTCAGGCTGTAACACAACAAAATGTGGAAAAAGTCAAGTGGTGTGAATAATTTCTGAAGGCCCCATGACCTTAGCTAAAAAGGCGAGTTTTAGGCCTTATGTAGGGTTATATTGGAGCTGTTTATGCAGAAGTTCAAAGGAGTCTGTTACATTTGTTTATTTAGCATAGCTTTTTTGCCTTATGTTTAAAAAATGTATTTTCAGATTGTTATAAATCGGCTTATTTGCATTGTTTTATCCATTCACTTTTTATTTAGAAATTCGTTCAGAGAAAGAAAACGTGTGTTGAACTGTCATCAGTTAAATGAAACGGAGGTTGTACTGTCATTGGCTGGATTTCCAAATCACTTCCTGTTTTCATTTTTAAAATGGTTAATAAGTTCTCATATTATGCAGTACGATTGTGGATTTTCTTTTTTCAAAAGACATTCTAAACTTTGGGATCTGTGCTGAACAACTGTTTTTCACAGTATTGCAACCACCTTTAAAAAAATCTATTGATAATTTCACATACTTTTATTTGTAATGTTGTATTATTCATACCAGCATTTCTTTAGTAAGTTTACACCAATACTGGTATGTTGAAAGCTATTGTTGAGGCTATTTGTAAAGAAATACACTTTTAATAAAATACAAATATATGTAATTGGAATTACTCAAGAGTCTACAAAACTTTAATTGGTCTATTGTGCTGGGCAACGGGTTTAATGCAGAGTGCTGGTGATTCCTTACTCCACCCACTCCATACAATACACTGCATATGAAAAATACTCTATGCGTTCTCTCCATATATTTTAGTGAGTCTGTCGAGGAACATTTTAATTAAAGATACACCGAATTTAAAGTGATGGCTTTAGATAAATGTACTGAAAACTCCATGTGAAAATCTGTTGGCCAGAAAGTGGGAGGGTTTTCAGCGGTTGAATTAGATGTTTTCAGCACTGCAATGGAACATCAACCGCAAAGCCCATTACGCACTTTCCTATGCACTTCTCATTAGCTGGTATTCAGACTTACCTTATGAAGGTGCATAGCGGGCTTTGCAGGTGTGGTTCCCTTGCGCTTGCGCTGTCACCTGTGCAACTAGAGGAAAAACAACTTTAGACCACCTTTACTCCACACACAGAGACGCATACAAAGCTCTCCCTCGCCCTCCATTTGGCAATACGGAAGTGGTCCGATGAAGCGGATGCTAAGCTACAGGACTGTTTAGCTAGCACAGACTGGAATATGTTCCAGGATTCATCCGATGGCATTGAGGAGTTTACCACATCAGTCACCGGCTTCATTAATAAGTTCATCGACGACGACGTCCCCACAGTGACTGTACGTACATATCCCAACCAGAAGCCATGGATTACAGGCAACGTCCGCACTGATCTAAAGGCTAGAGTTGCCGCTTTCAAGGAACGGGACACTAATCTGGATGCTTATAAGAAATCCCGCTACGCCCTCCGATGAACCATCAAACAGGCAAAGCGTCAATACAGAACTAAGATCGAATCCTACTACACCGGCTCTGATGCTCGTCGGATGTGGCAGGGCTTGCAAACTAAGGGAAACCCAGCCGAGCGCTGCCCAGAGACGCGAGCCTACTAGACGAGCTAAATGCCTTCTATGCTCGCTTCGAGGCAAGCAACACTGAACCATGCGTGAGAGCACCAGCTGTTCCAGACAACTGTGTGATCACGCTCTCCGTAGCCGATGTGAGTAAGACCTTTAAACAAGTTAACATTCAAAAGGCCGCAGGACAGACGGATCACCAGGATGTGTACTCAGAGGATGCGCTGACCAACTGGCAAGTGTCTTCCTTGACATTTTCAACTTCTCCCTGACCCAGTCTGTAATACCTACATGTTTCAAGCAGACCACCATAGTCCCTGTGCCCAAGAACACCAAGGTAACTTGTCTAAATGACTACCGACCCGTAGCACTCACGTCTGTAGCCATGAAATGCTTTGAAAGGCTGGTCATGGCTCACATCAACACCATCATCCCAGAAACCCTGGACCCACTCCAATTCGCATACCGCCCAAACAGATCCACAGATGATGCAATCTCTATTGCACTCCACACTGCCCTTTCCCTCCTGGAAAAAAGGAACACCTACGTGAGAATGCTGTTCATTGACTACAGCTCAGCGTTCAACACCATAGTGCCCTCAAAGCTCATCACTAAGCTAAGGACCCTGGGACTAAACACCTCCGTCTGCAACTGGATCCTGACATTCTGCCCCCAGGTGGTGAAGGTAGGCTATAACACCATCAACACGGGTACATGCTTAGTCCCCTCCTGTAGTTCCTGTTCACCCACGACTGCGTGGCTGCTCACGACTCCAACACAATCATCAAGTTTGCCGATGACACTAGTCCCTACCCCTAGCCCATACACCAGGGATGGGCAACTCCCGTCCTCGGGGGCCTGATTGGTGTCACACTTTTTGCCCTTAGCCCCACCAATAATCATCTAATCATGATCTTCAGTTTAGAATGCAATTAGCTTAATCATCTGTGTTTGCTAGGGATGGGGAAAAGTATGTGACATCCCTCTGGCCCCTGAGGACTGGAGCTGCCCATCCCATAAGAGGAACACTTTTCTATAAGTTTGCTGATTTGAATGTGACACTTAATTCAAGTGGCCACACAAAGGCCTACTATTAACTACTACTACTATTAACTAATGTAATAATATTGTCAAACATTGTTGCATGGTTTTATGAGAGCTTGTTTTACATTGCACTGCTGTGTCTGTACCTACCAAACCCACTGTGTCTGTACGTACCAAACCCACTGTGTCTGTACCTACCAAACCCACTGTGTCTGTGCCTAACTCCTGAGTGGCGCAGTGGTCTAAGGCACTGCATCGCAGTGCTAACTGTGCCACTAGAGATCCTGGTTCGAATCCAGGCTCTGTCGCAGCCGGCCGCGACCGGGAGAATCATGGGCGGCGCACAATTGGCCCAGCGTCGTCCAGGGTAGGGGAGGGAATGGCCGGCAGGGATGTAGCTCAGTTGATAGAGGATGGCGTTTGCAACGCCAGGGTTGTGGGTTTGATTCCCACGGGGGGCCAGTATAAAAAAAATATGTATTCACTAACTGTAAGTCGCTCTGGATAAGAGCGTCTGCTAAATGACGTAAATGTAAATGTAATGTAAATGTACCTACCAGAGCCACTGTGTCTGTACCTACCAGAGCCAGTGTGTCTGTACCTACCAAACCCACTGTGTCTGTACCTACCAAACCCACTGTGTCTGTGCCTACCAAACCCACTGTGTCTGTACCTACCAGAGCCACTGTGTCTGTACCTACCAGAGCCAGTGTGTCTGTACCTACCAAACCCACTGTGTCTGTACCTACCAAACCCTCTGTGCCTACCAAACCCACTGTGTCTGTGCCTACCAAACCCACTGTGTCTGTACCTACCAGAGCCACTGTGTCTGTACCTACCAGAGCCAGTGTGTCTGTACCTACCAGAGCCAGTGTGTCTGTACCTACCAGAGCCAGTGTGTCTGCACCTACCAGAGCCAGTGTGTCTGTACCTACCAGAGCCAGTGTGTCTGTACCTACCAGAGCCAGTGTGTCTGTACCTACCAGAGCCAGTGTGTCTGTACCTAGCAGAGCCAGTGTGTCTGTACCTACCAAACCCACTGTGTCTGTACCTACCAAACCCACTGTGTCTGTACCTACCAGAGCCAGTGTGTCTGTACCTACCAGACTCAGTGTGTC